CATTAACCAAAAAAAAAAATATTTGTGTTGTTGTGTGTATGTGTTGTATAAATACGGGCAGATGAACGAGTATTTGCCTCTCTGCAAGACATTTTTAGGGCTTGTCTACTTCTATCGTAGTCTACAGAAGGAGGTAACAAGAAAGACTTTAGAAAAGTTACTATACTCAGAAATTAGAAATACTATTGACCAAAGCAAACGTAGCAACTCCCAGCATGCACACATCAAAGGAAAATCAGTGGATACAGCCTTAAATGAGGTGGTTGGATGCATCGAGAAGAATATGGAGTCCTCTGGCTACACTTTGGCAGCGTTCCCTTGCAACAATGTAAAGCTAGAGGCCATCCATTCTGCTCTCGTAAGCTCAGGTATCCCCTCACTTCTAACGGACTGGATTGATAGAATTCTGAATAGCAGAATTATCAACTCATCCTTAGGAGAGAGTTCCGTGAGGAAATCTATTAACAGAGGCACACCACAGGGAGGAGTACTATCTCCCCTTCTGTGGCTTTTGGTAATAAATGATATTCTGATTAAATTCCAGGCGGACAGATGTGCGCTGAGGCTCCGAGAAACGGATGCCTGGAAATCGCTGAACTATGGTCACGCTAGTATTCTCAACATAACGCCAGAATGTGAGTTATTGAGGAGAAATTCTCACATTAGTGACTATGTTCCATCTCATAATGACATCAGAGTAGAGTTTCCTAGTAGGGAATCCTGGACTAGTGGCTCCTTCCATACCTCTACCAGGTCTGTCATTTTTCACAGACGGGTCAAAGATGGAGGAAGCTACTGGTGCAAGCGTTTACTGTCGGGAATTAGAAATATACAACTCATATAAACTTAACAATCTTTATAGCGTATTTCAAGCAGAAATACTTGCAATCACGAAGGCGACCGAGATAGTAAACTTACTGCCGATAATACGGGACATAGAAGGGAACGAGATAGCCGACGAGCTTGCTCGAGGGTGCTCACAATCGTTCAATCTTCCGATTGAGAGATCTGTGCAACCATCTACGGCGAGGTAGTCGGTAACAGATGGTCGAAAGAACCTGGTTGCAAAATCTCAAAAGCTATCTGGCCTGAATTCTCTTGTCGAAGAACTCCTTCGCTTCTTCTCACTTCGAAATGGGACTCCAGCGGAAAGGATTACTGTCGTCTATGTGAGGACAAAGAAGAACTAGACAAAGAAGAACAGTTTGAAAGATATGAAATTGATAATCTACCCTTCTTCTCTAAAATAGCCCTCAACCAGATCCTAGGCTTAGTCAAAAATCTGATATGGCTAAAATAACCATCTCTAGGCTCTCCCTTCACCTACTACCTTTTCCTCTCCCTTCCTCTCTCCCTCCCTCCCTTCTTTTCAGGTATAAGGGATGATCACTATGGACAATAGTATCCGAGTGGGCGGTTGTTACTAACAATCGTACATCCCTAACCAAACCAAAAACATTAAAACTACATATATATATATATATTTTTTAATATATTTTATTGTATTTCTTGAAATAATTTGAGAATAATAATAAAAAAAATAATTTTTATTTGTTGTTTTTTTAACACACAGTTCAATAAAAACTCTTTAACCTATAGAAAATACAAAAAAAAAAATCTGAACATAATATTACAATTTGTTTTTGTAGGTTTTTGTTTTTATAATTACATAACTTTTTTCTGGTATTTTATTTAAATATATTGATTTTTTTTATTAGTTTTGTTTAAAGCAAGAACCATTTAAAATAATAGGACACTTTGAAGAAGGTATTTAGTATTTGTACTAAACACAAAAAAAAAACTATTAAAAATAAGCTTAAATTACAAAAAAAAAACGTGTGAAATATAAGAAAATTAAATATATTTATGAGAAACTTAATTTCCTGGTGTTTTTTTATTATTAGAAACAATAAAAAAAACATATATAATTTAGAGGGATTATATGTAGTAGGGACGCGGGTAGCTTGGTAGACAGACGACGTTTTGACGGTAGGAACATTTAGAAATTGAATGAGTTTAGTTAAATGATAATAAAATAAAAAAGAGAAAAGGATAGATGATTGGGTTGCAAAAGTTTAATAAAAACTGACTTCTTTATAATTATTTTGTTCGAATTGTTGTTGACGGCGTGCATTTCTTCTATAGGAAAAAACAAAAATGAAAATAAAATTCAAGCGATTTCAAAATGTTCCTCTTTAAATATGTATGTATGTTTAGTTTACAACACAACAATTTATTTAGTTTTAGATTTAATGCGAATATTTTTTTGTTTGTTTTATTTTTGTTGTTTAGATTTTTTAAATATAACTAGAGATAATTTCATTGTTATTACGCAATATTTCCTTGTAGTTTAGTAGTTTATTTTTCTTGTTTAATGTGATTCCTTTATTTAGTTAATTCATAATGACGACGTTGCTTTTTTTCTTTTGGGTTTTTTTTCGCTTCTAAGTCTAAAGTTTTGTGTTGAACACTTTTTTATGTATCTTTTCCTTAATATATATATGTATATTTTTATAAATTTTTAAATGTTTTTTTTTCTTTTTCTTTAAATAGAGTTCATTACAAAGAAGCAAATAATAGCAATAATAATATAAAATAATTACACTTATTTAAATAAAAAATTTCGCTATGAAAGATTTTACAAATGAAATGTAAATCATGTTTATATATATATTTAATATTAATAATAATAATTATAGTGTAAATAGAGTAAGAAAATAAAACCTGAACACTTTTGATACAACTGTAGATGGATTAGTTTACGAAATATGTAGAGAATGGAGATTTTTTGTTTTGGAAATTGAAACAAAAATTAGCTGCTAGAAATTTTGATATAGATGAAACCACCCTTGATAGCGGTTGATTCTCAATAATAGATGCCAACAAAAAGCTCATCATCTCCCTTAAAATTACTTATAGATTTGAGGGTTGATTATTATAAATCTATCAATTAGTTCCTCCTGTATTAGATTAATAGCTAAATTCGTTATAAATCAAATGTAATTTGTAATTAAAAAATTATTTTCAATTTAATTTTTTTTTGGAATTCAAATCATTTTAGTTCAGATTGCAGTATTTTACGTATAATAAATTGTTTCGTAATTGAAATTATTCCATGCCAAATTCAAAATATTCCTTTTGGAATTATTCGATATTTTTTTTAAATATTGACACTTAAAACCGGCAATTTTTTTGAAATAAAGTTGAAATATTATTACCTCCAACAAAAAAGTTATACAATTTTATGTGCAATTCGATTTGTATTGAAATTATTCCATTGTAATTCAAAATATGAAATAATTTAAATTTCGAATTGAATTGTATTTCAATTACAAGTGCACAAATGTATTCCAAAATCCAAAGAAAATTCTTGAATAACCAAAGAACTATTTCAATCGCAAATGGAATATTTTCCATTTGAAATTTAAATTATTTGAATTTCAAATTTTGAAGAAATGAATAGAATAATTTAAATTTTGAGTGGTATTTTATTTGAATTACAAGTGAATTTGAATTACATTGTAATTCAAAGTATCTTAGTTGAAATTCCAATATATATATATATATATATATATTTTTTTTTTTTTTTGATAAATATTTTTTGAAATTTAAACTATTTCTATTGCAATTCCAAATATGCCATTTGAAATTTAAATTATTTGAATTTCAAATGTTGAAAAAAAAATTGAATGGAATAATTAAAATTTCGTATGGTATTGTATTTGAATTACATGAGAATTTGAATTACATTGTAATTCAAAATATCTTAGTGAAAATTCGAATATTTTTTGTTATAATTTTTTTATTGAAATTCGAACTATTTCAATAGCAATTCAAAATATTCCATTTGAAATTTAAATTATTTGAATTTCAAATGTTGAAAAAATTGAATGGAATAATTTAAATTTTTTTATTTTAAAATCCAAAAGAAATTCTTGAATAACCAAAGAATTTAATTAAAATACCATTTGAATATTCGAATTAAGTTTAAGAATTCAATTTGTAATTTTTGGTTATTCAAGTCTCGAATATTTCATATTTTCATATTATTCTATATGTTATTTCATTTGAATTTTTCAAATTTGAAATTTTAAATAATTCTGTTAAAATTTTTTTGAATTGAACTCGTTCGTATTGCAAAAGGAATTATTTGAGAACAGATTAATTTAAATTACAAATTAAATTAATTACAAATGGAATCCTCCTCGAATATCAATTGAAATGTTTTGGAAATTAAAAAGGTATCTTCGAATTAAAAGTGAATATTTTAATGGCCTAAAATTGTGTTTGGATTTCGAGTATTTCATTTGTAGTTCGAGTTATTCTATTTGTAATTTAAAACATTTTATTTGCTAATTAAATTATTCTATTTATAATCCAATTTATTCCATACGAAATTCAAATTATTCAACTTAAAATTCTTCATAACAAATTAAATGATTTGTAATAATTTGAATTACAAAATCGAATCACAAGTACAAATGCTTAGAAATTTTAAAAGGAATTCTCGAATTACAAAATCACAATGTGGCTGTCTGGGTGGTATTGATTTTAAAACGGGGCTATAAGGGGGTTAAACTGTTGTTGTTTCGTTTTTCAAAATAGAATTCTTTTTTCAATTTCTCCATTATCTTTTTTCGAAATCCATCATCATAAGACTATTTCACAAAAATAGTTTAGGAGAGGTGTGTGTGTGTGTGTGTAGGAGGAAATATATACTAAATATACATAGGCAGATTTATTAGGATTAAGGAAGGAGGGAGAAAAAGGATCATTAACCAAAAAAAAAAATTATTTGTGTTGTTGTTGTGTGTATGTGTTGTATAGATACAATAAACAAAACAATATGTTTGACATGTTTTTGTTTCGAGATGAACATGCAGCAAGGTATTTGAGGGAGCATATATGAGGGAGTAGTGGGGATTATAGATGTGTTTGCGTGTCTGTTTTTGTGTAGATACACATATACATAGTTATGTTTTATTTAACGTGTTTTTTCTTTATTGTTTATTATTTTTAGAGAAATTGTGTGAAGCCCAATTGAGTGAAGTCTTCCAGGAATTGGCTAAAGCCTCGCTAAATTTCGAACGGAAATGTTCGAGTGCTTTTTCTGTACTATATTCTAAAACCTAGGGGAGAAAATGACAAAAAAGTAACAATTTATAAATTTATTATTGTTTTTGAAATTCACGAACTATGTGATGTAAATCGATTCGAAATTCCGATGGGGGTTGAAAGGAAGGAGAATAATTTTTTTATGACCAACCCTATTATACATGAAGAGATAGCTTCATATCTTGATTTGTAGCTATAGTAAATTAGTTTTTTTGAGATTGCATTTCTTTAATGAAATCGTATGATACATTTTTTGTAGAACATTTCGCCCTTCTACTTCGATTCCTTCTATAGCCATTTTATACATACAGATGTGTGATTTTTCATCTTCGCAATGTTCTTCAAAATGTTGCTCATAAGATTTTAGGTATTGCATTTCCTCAATTTTACCCGTGAAGATATTAAAATATATATATATATATATATATATAGGGTTTTAGTCACATACCCTATATATACAGGGTGAGATGAAAAAACTGCAACCAACTTCGAACTGCTGTTATTTCTAAGCTGTTAAAATTATTCCAATGACAATGAACAAGCGTACAAAACCATTTTGGTGAGAATTTTCCAGAAAAAAAGGTATTCGTAATGGAACTCAAGCGTCATAGCGTGATTTCTTTATATTTGGTTGCAAAACAACAAGTGGCTATCGTTAGAGCACTCCAGCATTTAAATGTGAATAAATCGTTCGTTCGTTACTGTGATACAGGTAGCGTAGGCCAACGTCAAGGAAGTGGGCGGAAGAAAACAGCAACATCAGCAGAAATGCAAATGCATGAAAAGTAAAGAAGCGAATTGATCGAAACCCGCGTCGCAGTGGTCGAAAAATGGCTCGTGAGCTTAACATATCGCAATATTCCATTCGGAAAACATTGAAAAATGAACTCGGGGTAAAGCCATTGAAATTCCAAAAAGTGCAAGAGCTTACACCACAACAGAAAGAAAATAAACTCAAAAGAGCTAAAGAGTTGCTTCGCTTGGCCGAAAGTGGTGAACTTCCGAATTTAGTTTTCTCCGATGAGAAAATATTCGTTGTCAAGCAGTTTGTAAACAAACAAAATGATCGTGTTTACTTGTCAAATATATCAGCTGAAAATGAGCATCTTTGGTTGGCCACCAGAACTCAATCGCCGGCCATGACCTCTCCGCTCTTATTAATCGATCGTGGCATCGGAATAAATGCCGAATATTATCGCGAAAATATTCTTGAGGGTGTATTAAAGCCTTTGGTACGCAAATATTTTGGCCGCCGACCTTGGACATTCCAAAAGGACTGAGCAGCATCGCACTCAGCACGCACCACCCAAGAATGGACTTCTGTACTGTATCTCGATTTGGTCACGCTCACGTTTGTCTTGTTCTTTTTTCTGAAAAAACGTTTCTTCTCTCTCCTATTCTCCCCATTATTCTCTCTGGGACCAGAAGCTTTTCAAAATGATCCTTTCAGATCCTCAACACGCTGTCTGTAACTATTATCAGGTTTCCTTCTTCATCTCTACAGGGGAATGTGCCCGCACCAAAGCCTTAAGTTCAGAGTTTTACCATTTGCTAAAATTTCCGGACTTCATTCTGACTCCTGTACATACCGATTTGCTCCTTTTCTCCCGATAATTCTCTCTGGCATTGCGTGTTGCTACTGTTTGCAGGGTTGCTCCATATGCTCCAAGGTACGATCGTACCTTGGGTTTCTTGTTGGTGGTCTTTGGTACCCAAGTGTTGCTTTTGTTGCAGTTTGTGGGGATTAGGCAATTCTTTGCCATTGTGCTTCTGTAATATTATCGGGACAAGGAGTGCTCTCGTCAAACAGGTGGGTAAGTTGAGCGGAGTAGGCTTCTGCTATATGTTGTGTTTGCAGCTTTTCGACGTCGAGTTTCCGTGTTACATTAGATCGCACCTATTCCTGCTACATAAAGACGTGTGCGAACCTTGGCTGCCACAATGTAATCGACATTCATTCCTCGGATCGATCTAACGCCTTAAACACTGGATGAATGCCTTCTGTCTACAACAACAGCATCAATTTGATTTGTCGTTTCTTAATCAGGAGAAATCCAGGTGGCCTTGTGTATATCGAGATGCTTGAATCTGGTGTTGCTAACTACCGGCGATAATATTGACGACGTAATTGCAAAAATTTCCAACTATTTAGCCACCATCATCAACTTCTTCCGGGAGCGCAATCTTTTCACTTCCTGGACACGAGAAATCAATCTAAAACTTAAACATTTCCATTGAAGATAGGGGCATCACCACCGTCCATAGTCCGAAAATGCTTGTGGTGGTCATCGAAAACCTCCTTCATTTCTCCTCGCATTCCAATTACATCAACCACAAGGTAAAAGCTAGGATTAAATTCTGAAAGCTTTGGCTGGCACCTCCTGGGACAAGTATAAAAAAACGTTAGTAACGACTTATAAGACCATAGGTTTTTCCATTCTGAATTATATTGCCCCAGTTTGGACTTCTTTCCTTAGTGACACAGAATAGAGATCCTTGTAACCAACCTAAAATAATGCACTCGGAATTGCAAACGGCTGCGCCCCGATGACGAGCATCGATCACCTCCATGAGGAGACCAGGATGCTGTCAAGCAACATAATGTGTTGTTGACTAGACAGTTCCTGCTGGCATGCTATCTGCTGTGCCATCCTAACCATAACGCAGTGATGGCAGATCCACCTCCGCGACACATTCGCCACGACTTCAGGCGCTATCGTGATGGCATCCAAGACGTCATTCCATCGGACGTCAACAGATTGTCGATAGCGAACGCGATGAAATCCGTACATCAACTGGCGGTCTCCGAAGCCATATATGGCTACAGATTCAATAAAATCCTAAAAAAAAACATCCTCCTGCAATTCCGGAGAGTGAGAGGCTTCTTCCTAGGCAAACCCGTTCAATTCCGGCACAACCAAGATCCGGATACAGCAGTGTTCTCAACTCCTATCGAGGGCGCATTGTCCCCGGAACCCTAAACTGGTGTCCCTTCTGCCAACAAAGCCCTCACGACACACACCATCTATTCAATTGTCCGTCAGAGTCTACAAGTCTATTGCTTACAGACTTATGGTTAAAATCAATAGAGGTGGCACATTTTCTTCGGATACCCTCTTCAAATCAGATTTCCTAATAATTAAGTAATATATTTTCCTTCTTCCGCTTTTTTATCAATATTTTCAAGAAAGAACTTTCATCAACATCCGTTGTTGGATGTTTCTTCATGGAAGCTAATTTTTCGGTCGGTGGGGCCAAAAATATTTCCCCTTCCGATTTTTGCATTAAAATCTCCTAGCAGAATGTTTTAATATCATGGCTAGGGCAGCGGTCATATGCTGTTTCTAGGCGTTCGTAAAATATGTCTTTGGTCTGCTCATCTTTGCCTTCGGTCGGAGCATGGTCGCAAACGAGTCTGATGTAGAAGAACTTCGCTTTTATACGGATTATATCAATTCGCTCATCTACTGTAGTGAATCTGGAGACGAGGTCTTTTATTCTCCTATTAGTTTTATGGCAGCTATAATACAGGGCGTAGTCATCTGATTTACTTACGCCAGTCCCTTTCCATCACATTTCCTGTAAGGCAATATTATCGGATTTATACTTCTTGAGTACATCCGTTAAGGCAAACACTGCGCCCGTTCTGTACACACATTTCAAGTGCAAATTCGCAGATCGTGGTCCTTTATACGTTTGCGGGTGTCATCAACATTAGGGGGGTTTGGTTTTCTTTGCTTTTTCATAGTAGGTTGGGTTTTCCGAGAGTGGTTATGGGTGAACTCGCGGCACATATTAGCTCCCTATTTCAATGGATATTGAAAATAGTTACCCCAAGTGACACCGTCCACAATTGAGATGAAAGAGGGACCAAGATAAGCTTGGGCTTTGCCATGTTAAAGCCAATCAGAGCCGTTGCTTGGTATCTATCATCCCCTACGTCATGATAGCTATCATCCCCTAATAATGGCTACAAATCAAGATATTTTAGCAATCTCTGTATACTTAATATGGTCGTCAGAAAAAAATGATCACGACATATCTGCAAACTTTCACCTATGGCGAACATCATCTGGGGGTTCTACTCGACAAGGTATTTCATCCCCGGTAGGATTTTTTTATACCACATAAATGTTTCACCGATTTCGTTTCACAGTGTAGTTAGTGTTATTTAAATATTAACACTAGAACGCCGAAGGCCGTCATTTTGACCGCTTTCCAATTTCAAGTACAAAAGCAACTGTGCATTTAATGACACTTTTTTAAATTTGGTGAATTTTTTATAATAAACGTAATTCTATGAGGTACAAAAAGTCACCATATTTTAAAAAAAAAGTGTCATTAAATGCACAGTTGCTTTTGTACTTGAAATTGGAAAGCGGTCAAAATGACTGCCTTCGGCGTTCTAGTGTTAAATATTTTAGAATTGTTTTTCACTTCAAATTGAAGTGATTTACATCACATCATAGTATGAGAGACATATGTCTATGTGTATACACTTACCAAAGTCTCTTTTAAATAATTCAAATCCTTTTCAGATGATAGCTCTGGCAGTCCTGTTGATATCATCATACTAAATAGTGAGAGTATAAGGCAGCCGTGTTTGCGTAATACCAAAAATGCCTAGATTCAATAAAAAGACACAAATAATTTCAAGTTAATACTTTTTAAAATTACAAATATAAATAAAAATATAAATAAAATATATTCAAAAAAATCTTTCAAATCTTAATCTTCAAACAATTGTATATTGAATTCTCTCTTATTTTTTCAATTGTACAACATACCTTTTCACACATTTCTTGAAAATATCGAAATTCCTCGGCCATGCGATCGGCACGACCCTTATTTATAACATATACAAAATCATGGGTTAGTACGAAAGGAACACGTTCACGGCGAACACCGAATTTTTCTTTAAAATGACCCAGTATATGACCAAAGTCTATATGGAAAAGCTGAAAAAAAAAACAAACACACACACATACACAATTATGTCGTTAACCATAAACACTTTAATGGAAAATATTATTTCCTCATTACAACTTACTTGACCATTTTTCTTAACCATAATATTATCTGAATGTCGGTCGGCAACACCCAAGACATAGGTGGCCACACAATAACCAGCACAACTAAGTGTAAATTCGGTAACGGCTTTATTCATTTCTTCTTCCGTCTTATTGTGCTCCTTGAGCCAGCTGTATAGGGAGCCTTTTTTGAATGGTGATGTTGCTGAAAACATACCCTTTTCCTTTTGTATATTGGCAATTGTTTCGGCATTTAATACCACTTCGATCATACCCAAACGACGTTCCATGCTAATGCAATTGTATATGTTCATGCGGAAGTCCATACTAAATATTAAAAAAAATTAAATTAGTAATAAAATTGATTAGATGTAGACATTGTCGCTTACCCTTCATTTTTCCACAATTGATCCATTACTCGTAACATTTGTAATGTCAACATGTCCTGCCGCAGATCATCACCATTTTTGAATATAATATAAATATCATTACAATTCTGATCGGCATTTTCGAATACAATCCATAGGGGACGCATTTTCGAATCCATAACTTTACATTTCTCCGGTTTAACACCCTTGCAACGAAAGCTGGGATTCAGCGGATTTTGTATTCCTTGGAAGACATTGTTGTTACGTCCATTACGTAGAAATTCTTGCAGTAGATTACGAACTTTTTCTTTACTGCCCTTCTTCGCCAACACCGAACCCTGTTTGAGCTTTTCCAATGCATGCAGCTGTTTGCGTAACACCGAGACATGTGGCCTACAACCTTTTAGATATGCCTCCAATAACAGACCAAAACGTGTCTGCATTGACGGTGTCTGCATTTCGGAACGTAAATGCCAGAAGAAATAATGACCTATTCGTTGATTTCGTAATGCCCGTTCCAATATGAATGTGGTAAGGGCACAGTCTAAATAAGATTCGTGTTTCATGGCCTGCACCAATTGCAGTAAATACAACAGCAGCTCTTCGTCTCTGTAAAGAAGAGCAAGAAAATATTTTAAATTTTAATTTTGGATATTTTTTTCGTTTTTGTTAGCTTGACCTACCTTAAATTTTTCAGACATCTGATAGCAAAATTTCTAACTGCTGGATCCGGATAAGCATAGTCCAATAATTCCAATGATCTTTCAACTGAGATGGTTGGCCACTCCTTTAATAGATACCACATTTCAGCCACCTCATCACGTTTATTCCAGTTGACACAATGCAGTAGAATCGAAAGTTCTTCGGGTTCTTCGATTTTAATGATATATCGTTTTTCCCATATATCATTACGATCCTGATCGTGCATTTCATACAGCTTATTAAATGTGCGAGAATACTGGGATAAAACTTTGCTGACCGCCGCCGTCGATGATGGTACTGGGGGGTAATCGAGTGATTTAATGCGACCCAGTGGTTCGTTGCAGGCCGCCAAACGTGTGGCATACTGTAATACCGTATCCTCCGAGGGATATTGTATATAATCGTATTCATAACTATGGAATGTCAGCTGTACAACAGCACATTCGTCTTTACGAGGATTCGGTTCAATTGTGCCCAACGGATGAAATATTTCATCCGATTGTATGTCATCGGCATATGTCCACGTGTATAGGGATATACAGCCACTTTTCAATTGTTCCTTATAATCGAATACCGTTGTATTGACCCAGGCCAGTGAATTGATATTGACATTGGCATCTTTCAGCAGGGTATTACTACTGGTATTCGATGATTTTTTGGAGCGTGATGATCTTGTAACTTCATAGATGACCAAACATAGACGGGTCATGCGTGGCAAGTTCTGTATGGGTATGTCGAAGATAACGTCTTTTTCGAAGGTAAACGATCGATTATTACTGCTGGCAATATCGAATGAATGTTGGGCACACAGCTTGTGTTCGCCATGGTAGAGGCCAATGTGAACACCGACTTTATCACCTCGGACCAGATCACAATTCACATTATCGATGCGATGCAAACGTAAACGAAATGGTTGATTTAGATCCCATGAACATTTGACCTTGCGGTTCTCCAATTCGTTTGAGGGATGGCGAAAGCTTTCAGGCTTTGGTGGTCGTTTGGGGGCTGCATTCAATTCTTGTTTATAAGCTTTGTACGATGGTAAGGTATCGATAGCTTTTAAAACTACATTGGGTACGTCAGACCCGGAAAGGCTTTCCTGTAAATCAAATCAATCAAATTGTTTATTGTCAAAAAATAGAATCACTGTGAAGTAAAGTTCCGCAAATCCTTACCTGTATATAAATAAACTGTATCAATGGATAATCACCAAATAAATACTCATCTCGGCCACGAACTTTCAGTATATAATCGCTGGCACGATCACTGACTTTTATTTGTGATTTGCGAACTTTTAATATTGCCGAATCGATTAGTGTTCGGGGTGTATGCTGATCATTTACCGATATGGTAAACGATGTCTCATCATTCTCCAATTTGACCACAACCAAAAAGTTGGAATTTCGAAAACGTTTCCTTATGATTTCGGGCATTCCGGGTGTATCCGCCAGCCGCAAAGGATGCTCGTACAGCAATTTTTCATACCAACTATATTTGGAACGTTCCAGTTCAATTTCATCGCATAGCAGCGACATTTTTCGCCGAAAATCATCTTCTTCGGGACTGCGCTGGGCACTGTAGTCCTCAAATGATTTACCAATCATGTTACTGACCAATTTCGATAGTTCATAATCACTGGATATTGTGCTAGCTTCAGAACGTTCACCCAAACGTAAAAGGCAAAAATAAGGCTGTAATTCACATAATCGTTTGGTCTCATCGGTAAATGGTTCGACCAGTGCAATTGCTGATATTCCACTGACTTCATAATCACATGCATCTTTGATCAGATTATTTAATGGATAGTTTTTAGCTTGTCGGACCATTTCCTAACAAAGGGTGAAGGATAGTGAATCAGGATCGTTAGTACATATTTATGTAAAAGAAGAAAAATAATATAAATTAAACGTTTATGTTCACTTACTGCCTTGACTTCTCGTATTGTGGTCGTTGCAGGTACATTCAAACATAGAAAAATGCCATTTGGTAGAAAACATTTCAGTTCAACATCTGGTGGGTCGTTTTTCCACGTGTCAATGGAAAATGATGAACCAGCCAACGGTGCCATTTTTCAGCAACAATTCCGCAAAGGGCAAGACGTTGGCAAAACTCTTGTTGTTTATTTTATTTTTCCAAGCTGAAATAATAAATGGATATTAATAAATAAAAATAAAATTAGGCTCAGATCGCTGAAGGTTCCAAATTGCACAAAATAATAATAATTATAATTTCAATACATTATATTCAAATATGTAAACCGTGAAAAGATAAATTGGCTTCAGTCGTTCACACATTACGCTGGATAGCACTTTATATGGTATGGGAAGGAGACTTATTCCTCTATAGTTGGCACATGTTGTCTTGTCTCATTTTTTGTGCACGGGACACAGGATGTGAAGGTTTCAATCATTGAGCATGCATTCCTCTAGCCAAATTGTACTAATCAGCTGGTGCATGCTCCTGACCACCAGTCCTCAACAAGCAGTCTGTATCCAGATTTCAATCCTGCACCAAAACCTTCGGTTTGGTGTTTTACTCGTACGTAAAATTTCCGGGCTTCATTATTCTGACTCCTGTACATCTCAAACATACTCAAAAAGGCTATCGAAAATTGTGTTTTGGTTACAGATTTAGTGGCGGGTTAAAGAAAAATATATAAATATATCTCCAGATCATGAAGATCCTTTCTGACATGCCTAGATGGTGGTGATGATGAAGATCTTTCCTGACATCCCTAGGTGGTGGATAGGCATCCATAAGGTGATGGTTTGGATGGCTATTTCCATAGCACCCGAACATCTAGTTGTGTTGACGCACAAGAAGAATATTCGTCTTCTCATGTAAGTGATCTATTGGAGTCATGAAGATACATCCTTTTGCAATAACGTTGGCGAATCACACTGTGGGCACATAGTTTACCACAGAAAGGCCCATTATTGTATACGTTGTTAACATGGTTTATTTGTCAGTTCCCCAAGTGCTACCGGCTTGCGACTTGAGATTCTTTATGCCAGCAATTGATTTGAGGATCGTTTTCCTTCAACATAGTTGGTGCTCGGAATTGTATGCCCCTCGAACTGCACATTCAATGGCATTTTCATCTCGGACCACATTCCGATTTGAGAACCATTTTCTTTCAACTTCGTTGTTGGATAGAATTGTATGCCCCTCGAACTGCAATTCTATGGCATTTTCATCTCCGTTCATTGATGGTCGTAATTGTATGCCCCTCGAACTGCACATTCAATGACATTTTCATCGCGGACCACAGCCCGACCTATCGCTTTATAAGACATCAACAACGTATACACATGTGCTGCCAGCAAATTATTTGTGGAGCATTTTCTTTTAACTTCGTTGGTGGATGGAATTGTATCCCCCTCGACCTTCACATTCAATGGCATTTTCATCTCCGCCCATTGGTGGTCGGAATTGTATGCCCCTCGAACTGCACATTCATTGACATTTTCACCTAGGCGAAGATTTCTTGGCGGATATAATCATATTCCTCGCATGGAAGAGGGCGGTTAAATTTATGAATTGACGCAGAGTGAAAATCTGGTCAATGGTGGATTTGTCAGGTCTGAAGCTGCATTGGTATGGTCCAATAATGTCATTGACGATTGGCTTCAGACTTTCACATAGTACGCTGGATATCGCTTTATATGGAATGGGAAGGAGACTTACTCCAACTCCAGACATATCACCCTACCCTGAGGGAACTTCCTGCCTTCTTATGCGGGGTTTGGACTTATTTCGGAATTCCACATACGACTGGCGTCCACACATTTTATCCACATTATCCAACGTTTCAACTTTGACCGGAGGAAGGTATGCTCGATGTCCTCAAACAGAGGGTTGCTTAGTATGGGGGTTAGATATATTGGAGAAGGTAGATATAAGGACTCCAAATATAAATCGCAACTAATGTATATTTTTTGGTAGCATATAATTGTGTAATCATAATCGACATTCAATAGTTGGAATGAATATTTATCTTCAGTTGGAGGTGTTGAATCGGTCTGACGTCGTTTTACTTGTTTACAACTTTTCACAACAGCTCGATTAGAACAGCTACAACAACAACAAGCAACATTCATTTTGCGGCAATATACAAATACAACAACAATGACTATTTTCAATTTTTATCAAAGATTTTCTTTAAGGATATTGAATATATTTTCAATAAATTTACGTTTTTTTCCAATAGACCACAACAAAATATCGCACAAACGAACGTTAAAAATGATAAAAAAAATATGTTTTTTTTCTTTGCCCTGCGGCATCACATCACTCGAAAACTCCATCACAACACTCACTATTCATTCACAACATCGTTATGCCGTCCGTCTGTCGTCTTTTCGTCGTCGCACCCAAAACTGTGAACAAACAACGCTCATCTATAATTCTGGGGAAATACCAAAACATCATTACAACAAACAAACACGATGACTGTAATATTTTTTTTTAAATATTCACACGCTCAAATTCGAAGGCAAAAACATGTTTATATTTTTCATCCTTTTGGGCACCAATCGCCCTACGTACCTTTATTAGTTTTTTTTCTTAACTTTTTCCCTTTTTTATTTGTTTGCTGTTGAAAGACGACGACCGATTTTTATGTATTTGTTTGTGAGAAGAAGCAAAACACACAGAGTGATAGACGACGGAAAAATAAATTCCTTTCTTTCGTTTTTATTTTTCACCTCAGGGATGTTCACGACACGACGATTTTCTGTAAATTTCTATGATGCTCTTTTTTTATTATTTATTTAAAACACATTAACTGGTGGATAAGATAAACGAAATCATGTTGACTTCTTTTTATTCTTGTTTTTTCTGATTATTTTCATATGAAATGAAATTGACTTTTTTACTTTTTCGCGTACCGAAATGAAAAACGTTCCATCTGCTACAAACTGGATGGGGAGAGAGAGTAAGAATGTCTGATAAAGAAGGAATCGAAAGAGAATAGACGCTTAAGAGAGCCGATTGTTGCGAAAGTGGACATGGAGTCATAGACAATTGACAGATTGGGAAGAGACAGAAAGAACACACGATAGAGAAAAAACTGGTAGTGTGTACACCATTATACCATAAAAACGTTGATTTGTTAAGAGGTTCACACACTATTAGCACATTTTTTTTCAAAAAAAAAAAAAACATTCAATATTAAGAAAAGGCAAGGCGATATTGGAAAACCTTATACAACTTATTCTTAAATTCCTATTTTTTGGCAACAATTAGATTTTTTTTGGCTTAAGTCTAGTTTAGGGCCCACTCGCTGATCGCTTTAAAATGTAGTCCCTATAGACTATGGAGAATTTATCGGGAGAAAAGGAGAGAGGAGAAACGTATTTTCAGATAAAAAAACACGAAAAACTTAAGCGTTAGCAAATCGAGATGTACAGGAGTCAGATTGGTGCAGGCACATCCTTCTGGTATCAAATAGTGACAGTGAAGAAGATACCCCAGAACAAATATTAGATGACCTAGCCAAGATGAGGTCAGAATATCAATCAATCGGCCGAAGAATAATAAAACAGCAGGTGCCGATGGGTTACCAGCTGAACTATTCAAGACTGGTGGTCAGATGCTGGTTAGGAGCATGCACCAGCTGATAAGTACAATTTGACTATAGCATCATGTGTCTCGTGCACAAAAAAGAAGACAATACGATATATATCAACTATAGAGCAATAAGTCTTCTTCCCATCCCATATAAAGTGCTATCCAGTGTGCTGTGCCAATGATCAATGACATTATTGGACAATACCAATGCGTCTTCAGACCTAGCAAATCCACCATTGACCAGATTTTTTTGGCTATGCCAAGACTGACCTCAGAATCTAACACAAAGGACTTCTATGGAGCCCTCTTTTAAGAGCCACATCCCTCTTTTGGACGGGAAAAGATTCGTTCACAGGTAAGAAATACCTTCTGTTAAAAGGAGCCTCAAATTCTATCAAAAGTTCTCTCGGAAATATCAGCGAATGATTAAAAAAATAAAAAATCAGAAGATGACCTAATTTGCAACGAATAAAAATAATTTCAATTAATTTACATCTCTAATATAGATGACGGTGAGTAGCCCGAGAACAACCGGGAAGATGGAGGCATGGCCTCCGAATGTTGACAAGTCATTGACACTTACTTCCATTGCGAAAGAGAATTTTTTAGTGTCGAAGTCGGCTACAAAGAGAGACCGTACGAAGGCCTCTAGAAAGGTGACCAAGATGCAACCTCCTTTCCAGCAAGAACCAAAACCTGCGGTCCACTCTCCCTTCGAGGCGCCCAACCCACCCGGGCCAGAGATGAGCGACATGTTTGAGGATATAGAAGTCATAATTGAACAGATCCTTGAGTCACAGCCATGTTTAATAGCGCTTTTGCTAATCGTCACAGTACCATGAATGGATAACGGATAATTTTTGGCCTGTATTCGAAGCTATTAATAAATCTGAATTGCATATGGTCTCAACAGGGCAAAGCCACACATCACACGCTACAATCGATGTATTGAAGAATAAGTTTCATGGTCGCTTTATTTCAAGAAATGGCTCACACGAATGAAGGCCTTGTTCGTGCGATTTAATGCCTTTAGACAATTTTCATGGGGCACTACGTCAAGTCATTGGCCTATGCCGAAAAGCGAACACGGCCCTCATGAGTTGAGGGAAAAGAATAAACAGGAAATATCAACCTTTCGGTTAAGTCATCGAAATCTAACACCAAAGTTTGGGCAGATGTAAACGTTCTGCTGTGGCAATATGAGCGATGTCGAGTTTCTTTTATAAATGTCATTCATTGTATTTCAATCGCATAATACAAATTTTTAATATACATATCTAATTTTTTTGTGTTTTGTTTTAAAAAAGCAAATTTCAAGTCCTAATTAGGAAACCATTTACAACAGTCTAACGATTGGCCGTTTTCAGGTCGGTGTTACATTACACAATTACCACCATTGTGATTGATACACATACACACGCATACAACACAAAGCCAATCCAAAGCTGAGTGCTATGAAATGACATTTTGAGAATGTAAACATTTGTCATTTGTTGTTGTGTTGTGTGCAAAAAAACAAAAGTGAAAAGTTTGTTTATTGATCTCCACAGTGGAAAATCTTAAATCTAAATAAAAAAATATAATGCCCAATTAAAGCATAAATATTCAAATTAGATATTTCAATAATATTTTTCATTAAGTGGTGCTTTATTGTGTATTTACGGGCATTTTTTTTCGTAAAGAAAAGTTTATCAAATACGCTATAAAAATGAGCGACGATGAGGGTGAGTTTTGAAACAAAAATGTCATTGTGCAATTAATATTTAATTGCAGTGGTGGCCAGTTGCCTGCCATCCACAAATGATGAAATCCAAAATATTGATTTATCAACTTTTTATTGAACGCGTGATATATAGTTGTTGATGTTTTCACTAATGGTAGGGGGGATAACAACAAAATTTTATTTATTTGCGGTTTGTAAGAATGTCGAAGAAAATATTTTAGGGTTGCCAGGTTTTTTTTGTTTTGAGTAACTTACGACTTTTTTCTTATTTGCAAATAAGAAAAAAGTCGTAAGTTCGGAATATTGAAATTTGTTGTGAGGGTCACTGGGCTGGGTTTTTCAAATTTAGAATGCGAATTAAAGTTGAGGAGTAGGGTCGATATAAGAAGGTGGCTTTGAAAGTGTGTACTCATGTATACGAAAAGTACTAAATATTACTATATTTAGTATAATTTGGATTTGGGTGGACCTGTAAAGCTGGGATCTTGCCATTTGGAGTTAGGATCACTGTTTGGGGTGTAGAATTGAGCTATGTAGGAAGTTTGGAAAATTGCATGTGGATTTTGGTGAACAATGTGGATTTTGGTAAACTGATAGAGCTGGAATCATACAATTTGAAGTTAGGGTCACTGTTGGGGTGTAGAATTGAGCTATGTAAGGACGTTTCGGAAATTCATACTAATGTGTACTAAATTTGGTATAATTAGAATTTTGCGTGAACTGATAGAGCTGGAATCCTAAAATTTGGAGTTAGGATCATTGTATGGTTTGGGTATGTAGAAAGTTTTGGAAATTTGTGACGTCCGTCTGTCAATTATAATTTATAAAGACGATACAGATCACAGTTATGGACCAATTGTCACGAAATTTTGCATGTAGGACGGGTTCTGGCCAAAGAAGGCCCCTATCTTATTGGTATTGTAACAGGTTGGCTGTTGATGAAAGTTCTTTCCTGAAAACTTTGATAGAAAAAAAAAACGGAAGAAGGAAAATATATTAATTAATTATTAGGAAATCGGATTTGAAGAAAGTAGCCGGAGAAATTGTGCCACCACTATTGACTTTAGCCATAAGTCTATAGGCAATAGACTCGTAGGCTCGGACGGACAATTGAATAGATGGTGCGTGCCATTTATGGCTTCGGAGACCACCAGTTGATGCATGGATTTCATCGCATTCGCTATCGACAATCAGTTGACGTCCGATGGAATGAATTCTTTGGATGCCATCACGATAACGGATGTTGTTGTATAACTTCATTGCATCTGTAGCCATTTTTGGTTTCGGAGACCGCCAGTTGATGCACGGATTTCATCGTGTTCGCTATCGACAATCTTTTGACGTCCGATGGAATGACGTCTTGGATGCCCTCACGATAGCGCCTGTAGTTCTGGCGGATGTGTCGCGGAGATGGATCTGCCATCACTGTGTGATTGTTAGGATGACTCGGCAGATAACATGCCAGCGGGAACTGTCTAGTCAACAACACATTATGTTTCTTGACTGACAGCATCCTGGTCTCCTCATGGAGGTGATGGACGCTCGTCATATGGACACAGCCGGTTGAAATTCGGAGTGCATTATTTTGCATGGATTTCCATTGTGTGTCACTAAGGCAAGAAGTCCAGACTGGGGAAGCATAAGTCAGGATGGAACGACCTATGGCCTTATAAGTCGTTACCAACGTTTCTTTATCCTTGCTCCAGGAGGTGCCAAAAAACTTTCAGAACTTTATTCCTAGCTTTCACCTTCTGGTTGATGTAATTAGGATGCGAGGAGAAATGACGGAGGTTATCGAAGACCACACCAAGGATTTTCGGATTATAGCCGGTGGGGATGCGCCTACCTTCAACGGAAATGTCAAGTTCTAGATTGACTTCTCGCGTCCAGGAAGTGAAAAGTGGCACAATAGATTTTTCAGTGGATAATTTTAGATTGCGCACCCGTCGTCAATGTTAACGTTAACAATGTTATTGTTAGTACTGATCGGTTAATATTTAGAGCACAAAATGGACCAAAAACAAAAACATGTTTTTCGGGTCGCTCTAGAGACTAAAATTATAACCCAAACATCACGAAATATTAGAAAAAAAGGGGGATCTGTCCTTTATATAACCATGGCTCTTTCCATGATAATCGTTCAATATTTAGCGGGTCAAATGGAGAGAGAGAAAAATGCTCTAAAAATATACGCTTATGAGTGTGATAGTTAACAAAATAAATTAAATATCTTTATTTGTATACCCTCCACAGTGTCGATTGCACAGACATTGCTAGTGCTGCTAGGTTGTTTAGTATTGGAAATGGGATATATCGGTCCACGTTTTGGTGTAGCCCCTATAAAACTTTATCCTTCATTATTCGGTATTTTGGGAGCGTTTTTCGTCAGAATTGACTGTAATTTTGTATTTTTGGTTCTCGTGTTATAGAACATCTCCGTACCAATAATTATTTAAATTGAACACAAATTCTGGGTAGCCCCCATATAACAGTTACCCCCTATATTCGATATTTTGGGGTTTTCGGACAGATTTTCCAAGCTGACTGTATTTTGGGTTATTATATAGCATATCTCCATAGTAAATACGAGGGCTGTTCGGAAAGTTCTTAGCCCAGAAAAAAAGCGCGGTATAAACAGAATAAGTTATGTTATGAACTCATGTTAAATTTTGTCCCGATCTGGCAACTTCTTCGTATAAAAACAGGTGTTCAAAAAATACAACTTTTTTTACAATGAAAGCCGTACCAAAAATTATTATTATTATTGGCCTAAGTTTCCGGGTAGCACCAATATAACGGTGGTACCCCAATATTCGGTATTATGGGGATTTGTGGCACGTTTTTCAAACGAATTGACTGTAATTTAGTATTTTGGGTTCTCATTGTATAGTACACCCTTACACAAAAAATTATTCAGTGTAGCCCCTATGTTTGAGTGTAGCTCCCATATAACGGTACCCCCACATTTCTGTACTAAAACTCATTTCACTATCCAAAAAGATCAATATTGATCCCAGTTTTTCCCACGTCTTTTTTTCGGTATATTCAAAGTCCTATCACAACATGAGTTTACTCCCAGGAGCCCCCATTAATTTCACATATGTGTTTTGAATGTCGTCCTCATGGTAGAGGGTTTTACAAAGTTTGGCCGGGCCGAACTTAACGTCATTTAAACTTGTTTATTTTTTTCTTCTTTTGTATTTTATGCGATTAATACGTCAATTTGTAGGTCTTCATTATTTTATCAGTAGTCTGTCCATATACCACCATAAATTATAATATGTGCAACTGAGTAATAATGTACCAGTCAATAATCTTATGCATTCATTCCCATACCTACACACACACCCATAATAGTAATAATGCAAAATATCAACCACAATATTTTTTTACATACATTTTACCCGATAATAAAATAAAAGTCTTCCATTGCGCGTCGTCATATGGTTGCTGGATTATTATTATTATTTTGCATAATAAGTGAAACATATCATTTACCGCCAGTTCTCCTTGTACACTAGACCATCGTCATCTATCCTCCTACCCCATCTCCTTCACATCTTAGTGTCAGAGCTAATGAGACTTAGTGTATTTTTTGCTGATTTTTTTTTGGCATTGGTTTGTAATAGAATCTTTGATGCCACTTGAGGAATTGTTGTTACTGTTGTTGTTGCTGTTACAAGATTTCCCTGAGAATGGGACTTGTATTACACAAAAAAAGAACACCACCTCAGCCACGTGCAACAGTTGGTCGTACAGCAGCAGCTGGTAAGTATGGACAAAAATGCGTGTCTTGCGCAGTTGTTATTGCCTCTCTGCTTTCTGTGTTCTGCTCCCCATGGACTCGGATCAACAAAATTGTGGGTGGTTGTGGCGGTGGTGGTTGTTTGGATTGTAAAATACAAGCCAACCAACCACTAAAGCTATATCACCTCTTCTCCTGCTGCTCTTTTGCCGGTTTTATGAATGAATTTGCCAAAGTTTGTTGGCTGATATTTGAGAGCAGGCAATTGATTTTTAACCAAAGCTGACGTTGATGTCGTCTCGAAACGAAGCCAAAAATTTTCCTCAACTTACATTTTTGTTGTCATTATAAGTTTGTACTGCTAAGGGTGTTGTTGTCTCAGAAGGTATCGGGAGTTGGGCACGAAAAAAGGAAACTCTACAGCTAAATAGGGAGGAAAAAAGAAAGAACACACTGAAAATTTATATGAATATCAATTTTCCTTTGCAATAATATTTTATAATGTATTGAAAGTGTGTGCAAAAAAATTTTGAGTGATACAGTAATTGAGGATAACGAAAAACAAATATGGATTGGAGTTTTGTGGAAAAACCAAAATCAGGCACCGAAACCGCTCTAGATGCTTGTGATTATTTTCTAGATGAGGTCATTGAAATTACAAAAACCTTAGGTGAATCATTTTAAAGAAATTTTCATTGCTATTATTATTTTTGGTTTGTTTCTTAGTTAATTAATTTAACTTTTTTACATAATGATGTGTATAACTCCCAAAAACATATATGTATTTATATTCGTTTTTGTGTGTGTAATTGTTTCCAGATGCTCGTGAACAGGTTCGCCTTATCAAACATCGTGAATTGCGACATGCAGTAACCTCTGGAGATGAACGCACGGTGCGTGTCCTTTTGGAGGCATTGGGCAGTGAGCGGCAAATTATAGTCAATATGGCTCCGGCTGGTGCAAATACACTGTTATTCCTGTAAGTATATCTGCATACATATATGTAAATTGTGTACTTGTATGGATGTAAATGAACATGTCTTTTTTTGTAATGTTGATATAATTTTTTTTTGTTTGTTTTGATTTAAGGGCCGCCCAGTCGGGTTATGAGAGCATAACAAATCGTTTATTGGATGCCGGTGCTGATGGCCGTTCGCATACGGTTACAAAATATTCACCATTGTATGCTGCTGTACACCATGGCCACTATAATATTGCCAAGAAAATGTTGGAAAAGTTTCCAGATTTAATACAGGTAATTAAAAAAATAGATATATATTAAGGCGATCCATTTTCTATGGAGCCGAAAAATTCAATTAAAACCAGCCCCTAGGATGATTCTATTGACAATTCTACGCAACTTTGGTGAAGGAACCATAGGTCTAACTCGATTTTCGAGTCCCCACGCGAAATATTGGTAATAGACACACCTTTTAGTATATTGTATAGCACATCTCCATAGCAAATATTATTAATATTGACCCAAGGTTCAAGGTAGCCCCCATATAACTGTAACCCCGATATTCGTTATTTTGGGGACTTTGGATACACTTTTAACAACCGAATTGGCTGTAATTTAGTATATTGGGTTTTCATTCTATAGTTCATGTCTGTACCAAAAATTATTAATATTGGCCTAAGTTTCCGGGTAACCCCAATATAACGGTCGTACCCCTAATATTCGGTATTTTGGGGATGTGTTACACGTTTTTCAACCGAATTGGCTGTAATTTAGTATTTGGGGTTCTCATTGTATAGCACATCCTCACACTAAAAATTATTCAGTGTAGCCCCCAAGTTTGAGTGTAGGCCCCATATTTCTGTACTAAAAATCATTTCACTCATATAAATCATTTCATTTCATATATTTCGGTATATTCAAAGTCCTATCACAACATGAATTTACTGCCAGGGTGGAGGGTATAAAAAGTTTGGACGGTCCGAACTTAACATAGTTTTAAATTGTTTATTTTTTTCTTCTTTGGTACTTTATGCGATTAATACGTTAATTTGTAGGTCTTCATTTTTTTTATCAATAGTCTGTCCATATACCATAAATAAAAATAAGTGCAACTGAGTAATAATGTACCAGTCAATAACAACAAATGAACGCCACTTGGCTAAATTATTCGTATTTATAACCTTCACAACTATGTTGTAAGGGGATTATAGCTTTGCATGGCCCCAAGAGTCTGTAACACCGTAAACTGTTGATCCTGGCCCATCTTTTAGTATACCGGTACGGTCATATCTCGACTAGCTGAGTCGATCTAGACACACGTGTCCGTCCGTTTGTCCATTATAATTTACAAATACATTATAGTTATGGACCAATCATCACGAAAATTTACTTGTTTCGGGTCAATGAAGAACCCTATTATGGAAATTGGAAATAATCTACTATACTAATAAGAGAGTAAAGTGATTGACTGACTTAACGATTCATCAACGCCCAGACGAAACTGATGCTAGAATCTTGGGGAAATTTAGGGTGAGGGTCACTCTTGGTCCAAAGGTGACAGATAAGGCTGGGGCTTTGAAAGTTCTAAGAAGTACTAAATGTGTACCAGTTTGCCAAATACAAATGGTAATGGTAGAACTATAAGTATCTAAAAAGTACTAAAATGTAATAAAATTGATACAATGTGAATGGATAGAGCTAAAAACTTGAAATTTGTAATTAAGGTTGAGAAGTAGGGTCGATGTAAGGAGGTGGTTTTGAAAGTGCGTTCTCGTGTATACGAAAAGTACTAAATTGTACTAAATTTGGTACAATTTGAATTTGAAAAAAAAAACAAATGAAGGAATCTTGAAATTTGAAATTAACATCAGTAGTGTTGGCGGTTTATTTGGGATACCATTTGTATTTTGTTTTTGCAAAATAGTCAGGCTGAATCCCAGTTTGTTGTTTTTATAAAAAAAAACAACTATTTATTAGTGGGGAATGTATGGCATTGTTTGCCGAGGGGTAAGGCAGGGAAGACTATAGTTTCGGACCACGCCACTGATCCTCATCTGTTCCCTTGCTTCTATACAAAAAACCTTTCATACCCAAATGTCTCTTGTAACAAAGCGAAGTACTTAGCTGTCACATCGCGACAAATGCACACAACGATTTTGTTGGTGTTGCTAGTATTTTTTTTATAAAAACAACAAACTGGGATTCAGCCTGACTATTTTGCAAAAACAAAATTTGAAATTAACATTACCGACGGAGCGATATGTAGGTAGTTTTAGAAATTTGTACCTATGCGAATAGTATTAAATGGTACTAAATTTGGTACAATTTGGATTTAGCTGAACCAATAGAGCAAGAACACTGAAATTTTAAACAAGATTTTTGTTGGAGAGTAGGATTGGGGGTATGGATGTAGTTTTGAAAATTTGTTCTTATGGATACTAAATGATACTAAATTTTATACAATTTAGATTTAGAGCTGGAATAGTAAAAATTGTTAGAATGTAGAATTGAGGTATGTAGGTAGTTATGTCAATTCGTACTTATGTGTACTAAATTTGGTAAAATTTGAATTGTGGGTGAAATTTGGAGTTAGGGTCACTATTGGGGTGTATAATTAAAAAGTTTTGGAAAAGTGTACCAATGTGTACTAAATGGTACCAAATTTGGATTTGGTACCATTAGTTGAACCGATAGAGCTGGAATCCTGACATTTGGAGTTAGGATCACTGATGAGGTGTAGAATTTAATTATGTAGGAAGTTTTGGAAAATTTTACTAATGTGTACTAAATGGTATCAAATGTGGATTTGGGTAGACCGATAGAGCTGGAACCTTGAAATTTGAAGTTGGGATCACTGGAAAATCAAACTAATGTGTTCTAAATGGTACTAAATTTGGTACACTTATATTTGAGTGAACCGATCCTGAAATTGGGAAATAAGATTTGAACCGATCCTGAAATTGGGAATAAGATTTTTATTGTATTTATATTAATGTGTACTAAATGGTACTAAATTTGGTTAAACTTATAACGCTCGAATCATGACATTTGAATTGATGTGTAGAGTTTAGATATGGAGGTAGTTTTGGAAATATGTTCTATAAGATAAACAAGTGGTACTAACATTTTAATTATTGTCAATACTGGTGTGTGCGTGTTCATTTGCACTTCTGACATATGTAGTTCTCTGTGAAAACAAATTAAAATATTTGATATGTTTAAATAATTCTTTTATTTTTGTCGAACATTACAAAATTTTACATGGAGAAGGGGATCTGATCAAAGAATAAACGTGACTGTTTTGATGAAGATCTGTCAATATGTTGCGGGTTAAATGGACACTGACTTTTATGTGAAAATGGTAGGATATATGTGGGTATAAGATGTGGGAGTTATACGCAACTATTCACACGTGTCTACCTATTCTGATATCTTGTGATTTTTGGTTGACGTTTCGTTGGACGTTAATGAACTATTGTTTCGTAGTTCATTACTTCTGGGCAGCGATTTTCAATGGCATGTGGCCCCTATTTTAAAACTACCGATCGATTATAGAAATTTTCGATGTCCACTATATTGTATACAAACTTAAAAACCTTTTTATTTATTTCATTAAATAACATTGAAGTATTTTGCTTTTATTTCAATATAAATGTTGTTTCACTATTTTTCATCCGTGAACCTAACGCTTTCTCGTTTTGCTTTGCAGCAACCGACAGTGGAAAAATGGCTACCGATACATGCCGCCTGTATAAATGGTCACGTCAACCTGCTCGAATTACTTATCAATTACAACTATCCGGAATATCTCTATTCAACATATCGTGACGAAGAGGGCGTTTGGGAATGGAGTTTACCCTTCGATCCGAATGCACAAGATGTCACCGGACAAACTAGTCTTTATATAGCCAGTATATTGGGTAATAAGTCTCTAGTCAATATATTATTAAAATGGAAAGTTCGGGCCCGTAAAACCTGTGCTCAAAGTCCACAAAGTGCACCGATAACACCGACCCGCAAGCGTATTTCATTCGGTATACAGGCGATAATGTCAAAGCTGAATATATCCGGTGAGGGTGAACAGTTGATAAAAGAAGAGTCTCTAGAATGCGATAGATGTCCAATAAACATAAATTTGCTATGTGGTGCTGCACGGGAAACATCGTTGCTGGCAGCTGTACGTGGTTCGTTTTTAGATGTTGTAACGGTACTCTTACAAAATGGTGCAAATCCCAATATAATTGCTAAGCCCGTTGAGGATCACAACGATCCGAAGTGTAGTGAAGAGATATATGGTTTGAGTAATGTACCCATAGCTGAGGCATGTAAACAACGTTCACTGCCGATGGTGGAGTTGTTGTTGAAGTAAGTTGTGACTTGAATCATTTGTTGGGGATATGTATTTTAATTCGTCTTTTTTTTTTAACTAGATATGGTGCTCGTGATGATAATGGTTCAGCTTTGAGTGTGGCTGTTGCCTCAGAGGATGAGGCCATATTGAATCGTTTACTTGCCAAACGTGTCCATCCCGATTCCGATTATAAAATCAATAAGAAAGGTCTACCCACACCGGTTGAAGTTAAAGTTTTCTTGCCATCTGCCACAAATATTTCATACAGTACCATGTTTCCAAATACACCGGTCATTATAGATTGGCATAATAATACAAATGTCCAGTTGCCGTTTGTTAGGTAAGTTTACGAAAAACATTCTTACGGTAGTATTTATTTATTTATTTTATTTTATTTTATTTATTATATAATTTGTAAATTAATTTACAAAGTATAGATTTAAAAGGTGCTGGATAACTAGATCATATGCACCTGTTTGACGTATAGTAATATGATCGATTTAATATATATCTATATATACATTTGTATACACATATATATATATATATATCTACATATATATATATATATACATCCATGTGCATATACATATTCATATATATATATATACATATATAATATATTTTTAGAAGTGGAATAGATTTAATGATTGATTTTTTTTTTTTCTAACATAGTCTAATATATACATATAAAATTTACAAAGGGTAGGTAGATTTAAACTTATAGGTTTTAAATTATATGGTTTTTATGTTTTGCAAGTGAGTCACGAATTTTGGGAATCATGTCCATCCTTGAACAGTCAAGGATTTTGTGGAGGGGTTCATTAATTTTTGAGGTATTGCATTCACATAAGATATGGCGAACCGAAATTATAGTATTACAAAAATTACATTGTGCAGGTTCACAGTTTTCATAATAGTGTTTAGTATTAAATAATGTTTTGTTTACTCTAAGCCGGGCTAACATTATGCAATTTGCTCTAGAAAGTGATCTGTGGTAGTCAGGTCTGGTTGGGGAGGGATTGATAAATCTAAGAAAAGATTCGCTATTATTCCAAATTTCCAAATTTATGCTTTTTCTTATAGAGATGTATTGAGCTTTAATAGCCATTGGAAAACAGGGTGGCTTTGAAATTTCAGGTAGAAGTAGTGCTTGTTTGGCTGACTCGTCAGCCTGTTCGTTTCCATTGATTCCAATATGGGATGGAATCCACAAAATTTTCATGTTTTCAGCGTGTATGTTGGGTAAAGCGAAATCGAAAACACCCCTGTGATTCTGTTTTAGTGCTTTGATTACACTGAGATTGTCAGTACAGATAAGTGTCCTTCCAGAGAGATCTGAGGCGTGTGTCATAGCTTCAATGACAGCTGCTAGTTCCGCGGAGAAGATACCGACTCTATCTGGCAATCTGCGTTTGCAAATTGTTTGATAAGTTGAGGTCGATGTTTGTTTTACTACAGCAAAAGCAGTATTGATGCCATTAAAAGAACCATCGGTATACAAAATCGTCTGAGGGCCGTAATTGGAGATATTATCAGCCATGAGAGTTTGGAATACAGATGGGTTGGTTTTGTCTTTATTGTAAATGCTAAGGCTTAGATCAATTAAGGGTAAGTTACAATTAGGAATGGAAACTGGTTGTTCTGGAATTACTATATTGTAATTTGTTATAGTTTTAAAAATATTTCCTATAGCGTTGGGATATCGGTTTGGTTCATGGATTTGTTTCCAGAAACTTTTATTTAAACCGTCGCTTCTTAGGGTTATTGATTTAGATGCTAAGCTAATTGAATATTTCTCTAGGAGTTCATTGAAGCTTATGAAACGGCCTTCAATTCTCAAGGATTCAATAGGTGTTGCTCTTAATAGGCCAGTAGCTGTTCTATAGCATTTATTAATCGCTGTGTCGATTTTTTTAATGTTTGATTTGCTTGTCCAGCCATATATGGTAATTAAGTGGGATAATGTGCCTATGACTAGGGATCTACATATACATAAAGCCGTGTCTATATGAGGTCCTTTCTTCTTTGAGCATATTAGTCGGAGTAGATTGTTTATTTTGCCCAGTTTCGAAACAATGTGGGCAACGTGTTCGCTCCATAACATATTCTTTGTGAAAAAAAGTCCAAGAATTTTAATTTTTGATGAAAGGGAGATGGTACAATTTTGTAGGGGAATAGATATCTCTCGACAGCGTCTTTGTCTACAAACGTGTAATATTTCTATTTTTTCATGTGGGATAATGGCTCCTACTTCACTAGTCCAATTTTGTAGACAGTTTTCAAAACTTAAGCAATTCTCACGTACTTCTTGGGGGGTCCCCGATGAAATAGCAAAAATGTTGTCGGCATATATTCCGATGAAATCCATATTTAGGGTTTCTTCCAAAGTTCTACCTAGAGAGTTAGCATATATGTTGAACAAAATTACAGAGAGAGGTGAGCCTTGGGGGATTCCATTATCGATATTAAAAGAACGAGAATGGTAACCATCTATTTTTACAATAATTCGGCGATTGGTTAGGAACGATTTAATTAGGTATAAAGTTTGTTTATTTAAACCCCAAAGATGTAGTTCTGAGAGGATGGGCGTGAGGACGATTCGATCAAAAGCCTTTTCAATATCCGCAGAAATGACAACGGAATGTTTACTCATGGATAAATTTCTTCGAAGAACTTCTTCAAGTTGATGGCCCAGACTATGAACACCATGTCTCGGTAAGAAAGCATGCTGTAGGTTAGAGAATTTTTGCGTAGTATATTTGAAAAATCGACGAGCTAATATTTTTTCAAAAATTTTAGAGAGTATAGGCAGAAGGGAAATTGGCCTATAACTCTCAATTTGTGACATGTTCTTACCGGGCTTTGGTATAGGAGATAAGACGGATGTTTTCCAAGCGTGAGGAAATATTCCAGAGACAATGATCATGTTATAAAGATTGCAGAGACGTTTTTTAACATTTAGTGGAGCATTTCTTACCATAGGGTAAGAAAGCTTATCCCGCGAAGGAGTGCTACCTTTTAACGTTACTAACGTTTGTTCAAGTTCTGCGACATCAATAATTTCGGTTATTTCGGGAAAGTTATTTGCATCTGATAATGTTGGTAAGTCAAAGTTGTTTTTTAAAGCAATTACATTTGGATTGAAAGAGTCATCCGAGCTTAACGTGCTCCAAAAGGTGCCAAACTCAGATGCTATTTCATTTGGGTTTGTTAAAATGTTTCCAGATGTTGTAATGGATGGAAAATTTTTCAGCTTGGAAGTTCGTAAATTACCTATCCTGTTCCAAAGAACTCTGACATCCAGAAAGGGATTTAAAGAGTTAAGAAAATTAGCCCATACTAGTTTCTTCGCTAACTTACATTCTCTTCTCACCATTGCGCAGGCTCTTCTGTAATTTAAACTATTCTCTTGAGAACGCCTTCTTTTAAATTTTTTCCAGTATTTGCTTCTACTGTAAATTAATTTAGAGATTGTGCTGTTAAACCATATGGGAACATTTTGTTTAGAAGATTTTTTACTTATTGGTATAGATTCGTTAGCTGCTTTTCGGAAAAGCCGTCCAATTTGGGCTGCTTCTCTATTAACTTCATGAGATTCCTGAAAGGAATTATTAAATGCAATTAATTTAGATTGGAATAGTTTCCAATTAGCATTCTTAAGAATAAATTTTGGAATATGTTGTTTCCCATGTGAAATGTTTACACTTGAAATAAGTATAGGGTAATGATCGCCTACGTCTGGCATGTCCAAACGGGACCATGTTAAAAGGGGAGCAATATCAGAGCTGGCCATCGATACATCTATGGCTGTAAAAGTATTTCGTGTACTAAGCAGTGTGGGAGAACCGTCATTTAAAATGACAAAACCACTGTCCTCAGCGAACTCGGTCCAGAGTGTACCTGTGGGTGAATCTATAGAGGAGCCCCAAACGGTGCTTTGTGCATTTAAGTCTCCAACTATCAAGTGATGGTTTTGATGACTGCCGTTAGAGTGATAAATCTGATTAATCGTACCTCGATTTATGTTTATATCATGTTCTTTATAAACGTTTGTTATTGTTAAAGTAATACCTGAGTCAATTGTGGTTGTTTGGAAAAGAAGATTTCCAGATGATTTAGTATGAGATAAAATATTAATACTATTTTTAATTAATAATGCGATTCCTGCCTTCGCATATCTGTAATTTTTGTTGTGATGCAGTACCTTGTAACCTGACAAGTTCAAAAATTGGACATTTCTTTCAATAATGTGTGTCTCTTGAAGGGCTATTATATCTGGCTTTTGTTTAGCTATGAGAATTTCCAAGGCATATTTATTGTTTATAAATCCTTGGATATTCCATTGTAGTAAATTTAATATGGGGTAGGACATTAAGAAATAAATTTAATAAGAGAAATGATTTTAAGATGTTGAGTTTTTATTGTTGGATGCTGTGCGTCTGTAGGTTTCTGGGGTGATGATGACGTTCAATTCTGGAAATTTTTTGTATATTTGGCTGCATGGTGATAGTTCGGTTGATTGTGTGGTTAGGCGTTTGGGTGTGGTTGTGCATTGTGGAGATTCAATGTCTATTTGCATTTCTGTTTCATTGGTTGTTGTGTTTGGGATGGTGTGTGATGTAGAGTTGTTCATTGGCGTGTTTTCTGAGTTTTGTTGGTATTGGGAGTTTTGTATTGGTTTTATTTGTGATGGTTGGATGTTGGACTGAGGGTTTTTATCTTCTGAAAATGTTTCATTTCTTGGTGAAGATGAGATGGAAGGTGTCGGGTTTTGAGATGAAGGAGATGTTGAATTGGGTTGTGTTGCATTAATGGCGTTTGTTTGTACTGGGGCTGTATTATTGTTGCTAGCAATTTGTGCGAAAGTAGCTTTTTTTGATCCATGAACGGTGATTAGGTGAGATTCGGGGTTAGAATTGAAGATCTTCCATGCAAGTATTTATTTAATCATTATTTTTATATATTTTCAGAGTTGATTGGATGGTAAATGGTGTATTACAATTGAATCCGAAATTACAGGGTCATCCGAAAATCACCGAGGTTGCATTAACAGCCATAACACGCATCGATTTCTCTCACAATCATCTTACAAGCTTGCCCATTGAAATTTTCAATTTAGTTTCGCTAAAGTGAGTATTTTTATTAATTAATATAAATCTACAATATCGATATCTCTCTCTCTCTCTTTACAGATACTTAAATGTGGCTCAAAATAAAATAACCCAACTACCCATGCCATCGGCTACAACACCCAGCGGCAGATCTGCCTACTCCTCACCAGTTCTTGAAGAAATCTATATACAAGATAATCAGCTGATAACAATACCAGCGGAAATATTTGATTTGCCAGCATTAACAATTTTAGATATATCCAATAATAAACTACAGGAAATGCCATTCGATATGTGGAAAGCCCCGAAATTACGTGAATTGAATATTGCCTTTAATTTACTCAAAGATCTTCCCATACCACCCATGCAAACGTCATCGTCCCAACTGAGTTTAGATAAATTAGATTTGGAACCATTTTCAAAGTTCGATGCCTACGGTTCGGAGAATCGCAGCAAGACAAGAACACTCACCCTACAACCCTTGGTGCATCGTAATATATGGTCGAATAGTTTGGAGATAACCGACAACGATGTCAAATGGAATGAATCGAAAAAGGAAGAGGGTGTCTCACAACTCAATAGCCTAAATATAGCCAACAATTTGTTCACTAGCATTCCAGCGGCCTTGCCTTGTTTGGCAGTGAATTTAACAAGACTTAATATGTCCTATAATAGTTTAAGATCCATGGGTCATGTTACTAGTTATCCGGCAACCTTGAAACAATTAGATTTAAGTCACAATGAAATTTCCTGTTGGCCCAGTTTGCCACGCATCACCGAATCGGATCCTCATCTTTTGTGCTATAGTTTTGTAGCCCAAAATCAGGGTGGAGAAAATGATGATATACCCTCGTTTGCCAAACACAATCCTAATAATGCTAAGTCATCATCATTTCGTTCCACCGTGTTGAAGAGTGTGTGTCGTCATCGCAGACATTTACGCTTGGAATCGTTGAGGACATTAATTTTGGCCGATAATTTACTAACACGTATACAATTATCCACCGACGATGTAACCACACTTTTCAATGAATCGGATGATTCTGATTGGAGTGTTGTTGGTGTAACCAAATCAAAGTTGATATTTCCGAATCTCTCAATGTTGGATATAAGCAACAATTGTTTGAAAGAAATTCCCACATCGCTACATGAATTGACAAGTCTTAGTGTGCTCAATATAAGTGGCAATGTTAATGTCACGGATCTTCCACCACATTTGGGTTTGCTGACACGTTTATGGAATTTGAATACTCGTGGCTGTCTGCTGCAGGATCCACTGAAGTCAATGATTGAAAGTAAAAAATATAAGACAATGGACATCATTGGTTACCTGAAATCTATTTATGAAGATGCCCAGCCATATGCGCGCATGAAATTAATGGTGGTTGGTGTTCAGGGTATTGGTAAGACTACACTGTTGGATTTGTTGCGTCAGGGAGTTGGTTCGCAGAAACCCAAAGCTTCTGAAAATCATTGGGCTAAACGCATGGGTCACACCAAGAATCTCTCGAAATCACAAAGAGGTGGCAATATATCCACTGTGGGTGTGGATATCGGTACATGGATATCTGAGAAACGTAAAAAGGCCCCGGGATCACATGGACCGGTTGTGTTTCGCACCTGGGATTTTGGTGGTCAAAAGGAGTAAGTAGGAATTTTTAAATTGTAACAAAACTCTTTGATAAAATTTGTATTTGTATCATTTTAGATATTATGCCACGCATCAGTACTTCCTTTCGAAGCGTAGCCTTTATTTGGTATTATGGAAAATAACGGATGGCCACAAGGGTCTTGCCGAAATCCTACAATGGTTGGGTAATATACAGGCACGAGCACCCAATTCACCGGTCATAATTGTTGGCACCCATTTTGATGCTGTCGGCGATACCTTTTCCCCGGAAAAAGCCGAGGAGTTACAACAGATAATTCGTGAAAAATTCATTGCCATTCCGGATGCAGAGAAAATTGGTCTACCACGTGTAATTGATTCCATTGAAATTAGTTGCAAAACAATGCACAATATACGCCTGCTAATAAACATTATTTATGATACTGCATTCATGCTGAAATCTCCCGGTTCCAAAGAACCAATGCTACTACAAAAAATACCAGCCAGTTATATTGCCCTAGAAGATATTGTCAATGTTATATCGTGTAACTTAAAGGCCGCCGGTTTAGATCCTGTTCTCGATGCAGAAAATTATCGTAAATTGGTAACGGAGGAAATGCGTTTACATAATTATAAAAGTTTTCGTGATACCGCTGAGCTAAATCAGGCAACTATGTTTCTACATGACAATGGCGTCCTCTTGCATTATGATGATGCCACTCTACGTGATTATTATTTCCTAGATCCGCAATGGCTGTGTGACATGTTGGCCCATGTGGTAACGGTGCGTGAAATTAATCCATTTGCTCGCACCGGAATTATGAAATTGGATGATTTGAATTTATTATTTCGCAATTCAAGTGGTAGCAGTAATTCAAATCGTTCATATATTGTAAGCCTGTTGAATAAATTCGAGGTGGCGTTGACATGGGATTCGCGAACATTGCTGATACCGTCGTTGTTGCCGCAAAATGAAAATGAATCGCCAAATTCGGGAACAATTGTAAAGGTGAGTTTTATTAAAAAAAAGATTAAGGATCATTGATAAAGTGTAGGATAGATGTACCAAAGAGATTTTGGAAATTTCAACTATAAGTATCCGAAAAGTACTAAAATGTACTGAATTTGATTCAATTTCGTAACATGTGAACGGATAGATCTAAAAACTTATCGCTTGGAATACGAATGAAGGTTGAGAAGTAAGGTTGATATAAAGAGGTGTTTTTTGGAAGAGTGTACTCATGTATACGAAAAGTACTAAACAGTACCAAATGTGGTACAATTTGAATTTGGAGAAACGGATGGAGCTGGAATACTGAAATATGAAATTAAATTACGGCCGGAGTGAAGGATTAGAATATGTAGGCAGTTTTGGCAATTTTTTACTTATATGTACAAAAAGTACTAAATCGTACTATAATTGGTACAATTTTGATTTGGGTAAGCCGGTTGAGCTGGAACACTGAAATTTGGAAATAGGGTTACTCTTGGAATGTATGATTGGGGTATAGACGTAGTGTTGAAAATTCATACTTATGGGTACTAAACCGTACTAAATTTGGTACAATTTGAATTTTGGGTGAGTGAACCGGAAATAAAGTTACTTTTGGTGTGTAAGATTGGGGTATGGATATAGTTTTGGAAATTCATACTTATGGGTACCAAATGGTACTAAATTTGGTACAATTTGAATTTTGGGTGAACCGATAGAGCTGGGATTTTGAAATTTTGTGTTAGGATCAGTGTTGGGGGTAGGATTGGGGTTATGTAGGAAGTTTTGGAAATTTGTACTATTATATACTAAGTGGTATCAAATTTGCATTTAGGTGAACCGATAGAGCTGGAACACTGAATTTCGGAAATAAGGTTATTTTGGAGTGTAAGATTTTGGGGTATGGATATAGTTTTGGAAATTCATACTTATGGGTACTAAATGTTACTAAATTTGGTATAATCTTGAAATCTTGAAATTTGGAGTTAGGATCATTCTTGATTTTGGAAATTCGTACTATTAAGTACTAAATGGTACCAAATTTGGATCTGGGACACTCAATTTAGTTTTGGAAATTCTTACTTTTGGGTAACAGTACAATTAGAGTGGACTATTTAATGATATAAGTTCTAGAGCGCAACAAAACATTTTTTGAGCCTTTTTGAATATTTTTTGGAAGGCATAGCAGACCCATGTCCCTGTTTTTTAATTTTTTTGAAGGCATCGCAGACCCATAATATATATCTAGTTTAAAAATTCCCCAACAATTTTCCATTTAGTTGGAAAAATACTTCTAACACTTAACACTAATTTTTTTCATTTTTATGTTGCTTTTCAGATTTCACAGCGAACACGTGGTCGCAATTTGAATTTAGGTTGCTCTGTCTCAAATGAAATTAATTTAAATAATTTAGTTTATGAGCCAGTGGAGCAAACCACCAACTCCTCTTCAGTGAATGACAGTAATATATTGGAAATGGGTCTTAAACGTATTTTGCTTATGACCTATTTTCCGTCGGGTTTTTGGTCACGTTTGATTACACGGCTTTTGGCCGATGAGCATATAACTGAAGCCATAAAATCGGTCTACATTGCGGCTAATGATGTAAGTACCAAGTCTAAAAAATATTTGAATAAAAAATATTTGAATATAATGTATGTAACACTTTTTCATAGCAATCCCTTGAATTCGATTTACGTACCTCTTTGGAACACGACAGTCAGTGGAATTTATGGCAAACTGGCGTTTCACTTTACTATGGCCCAATATTGGTCTTTAAAATATGGGAGTTACCATTTCAATTGTCGGCGAATACCCAACCTTTTCGTAATGCCAGTAATCGGTTTAAACTTAAATTGGATGGCGTGTGGAGTGATATAAATTTGTGTAACTCGAGTATATTGGAGATATCATTTCCGCTAACCCATGTCAATGTCTATCAAGAGGTAGAGGATGGTGCACGCCAACATTTGGCACAAATTGAACCTAATATGCCAATTATTGCCAAGTTGTTGGCATTAGCTGTAGATCATATTGATTTACTGTTAGAGGATTGGTATCCTTCGTTGGGCACACGATTTGTTCACACCTCGGAGGGTCGATTTTTGATAACACGACTTGTAATGTGTCCACGATGTTTGAAAAAGTTATCGCTGAATAGTAAAAAATCTGAATCTTCCGATAATAATGGTGCTGGTGGCGGCAGCGGAAGTGGGGGAGTTAGTGGTAATGGCACATCGGATGTTTCTGATGGTGCTGGTGTGGGTCTCGCTGCAGCTATTTGCTATACGAATAAGGTACGTGCCAAGAGGCCGTTTTACTTCCAGGGTGATAATGGAGATGATGCTCAATTGAATGTATTTTCGGCGTATCTAAATGCCACCGCCAGAAGGGAACGTCGATCAGAGGTAATTGGATTACATTTACATTACAATTGCATATGTGTGTTATTGTTATTGTTCACCTTTAGGATTCCCTTTGTTCTGATGCTGATTCGGGTGTGGGCCCAGATTCTGCCGGTTCTTCACGCAACACCTCCGTTGACGGCCATCCATTATATAATATTCCTGATATATCGAATGTGTGCTACACTTGGATGATTGAAGAATGCATATTGTCGGTATATAATCAAACGAAAATCTCTTGTCCAGTCCACCTGGAGGTACCTATGCTGAAATTGGCACCCGATGTTGTTTTCGCCGATATACCCGATAAATATACCATCAATTCGGAAACAATTATAAAAGGTTCATTATTGGGTCGTGGTGCATTTGGCTTTGTTTTTAAGGCAACATGTAAACTGAAAGGATCTCGCAACTTCCGTGCTGTTGCTATGAAAATGTTACAACCTGTTCCACCCGGACCCAGAGCTAAAGAAAGTGCCCTAATGGCTTATAAAGTGGCTTTGGGAAAATGGGATCGTGATCCATTGCAACATGCATGTAAAGCTTATTGTACAGCCAGACAAGAGCTGGCTGTTCTGTTGACGCTGAAACATCCCAATATTGTTCCTTTGGTGGGTATTTGTATCAAACCGTTGGCATTGGTATTGGAGTTAGCTCCAATGGGTGGTTTAGATTCGATATTACGACAACATCGTCGCAGTGGTGCTCACATTGGTCCACATACATTTCAAATATTGGTACTGCAGGCGGCTCGCGCTATAGAATATTTACATCGTCGCCGTATAATATATAGGGATTTGAAATCGGAAAATGTCCTCGTGTGGGATTTTCCACAACCACATGCGTAAGTTATTCGATAACGAAAAGACGTATTTTGAGTGGGGAACTAATTTAATTGTATTTATCTTTTATTTGTCTTTTTTTCAGAGAGGATAGTCCACGAAATTCGATACACATCAAAATTGCCGATTATGGCATAAGTCGTCAAACGGCTCCTAGTGGTTCAAAGGGTTTTGGTGGTACCGAAGGATTTATGGCTCCTGAGATAATACGTTACAATGGCGAAGAGGAATATACGGAAAAGGTAAGTAAGAGTGGGAGAGAGAAAGAGCAAAATAAGTGGATTTTGTTCGAAAGAGAAAAATACCTCTCTTCGGACTCATAATTTTATTCTAAAATTTTCTTTTTCCAATTTAAATTTTTCTTACAGGTTGATTGTTTCTCTTTCGGCATGTTCATTTACGAAAATATCAGTTTGCGGCAACCATTTGAGGGACATGAATCGATTAAAGAATGTATACTGGAGGGAAATCGACCGGCGCTAACACAAAGAGAAACACAATTTCCAACCTACTGTTTGGATTTAATGGTCTTGTGTTGGGATGAATTACCCAAGAAGAGACCAACAGCCAGTCAAATTGTTTCTATACTGAGTGCACCAGAATTTATACATCTCTTAGATGTTGTGGCCTTGCCACATGCTGATAAAGTTGTTTGTGGTGGTTTTAGTTTTAGTAATTCCAATAGTCCAATTGAAGGTAAGACAAAAGGTTATTATATTATAAATTTTCAACTAATAAGATATCCCCTTCAGATGACTTCTCCAGCCTGGAGTTATGGCTGCCCGGCTACAATTCTCACATTGATGTGCTGGAAACAACAACACATGGTCAATTTATACAATCGAGTACAATTAAATGCACAAATAAATTCCTATCGTCGGATCCCAAGTCACCGCGTGTGGAAGAAGTTAGCCTGAAGTCACAGTCATCTTCACCACTGAATACACCCTCATCACTGCAGGCCTCCTCGTCCTCGGGTTCTTCATCGCGAACACCATCTGCAACACGTTTGCCACGTATTAATATGCTTTGTTGTTGTATTATTGAACAATCAATATGGATTGGTGATGCATCGGGCACCCTGCATTCCTATAGTTTGGCAGATTACACCCATATATTTTCATATATGTTAGATCCGGCCATTAAATCACCCCTGATAAGTTTGGTGTATTTAAAGGATATTGAACGTGTTGCAGTGGGTCTACATAATGGTCGGGTATTTTTAGTGGATAGCTCACGTATACCCTTGAATTGTGCATTTGCCGAGGGTTCATTCGTTTTGACGGAAATTTGTTCGGGTTTAATATTACACTGTGCATGTGCTGTTATGGTGGAGGGGTAAGTTAATACAAATTTATACCAAATTCACCATAACAAAATATTTATTTTTTTATTATAGAACCTACGAGTTGTGGTGCGGTGAAATGGCCGGCAAATTAAATGTCTTCCCATTGAGCAAGACCGGTGTTTGTGGCCATCAAGCATTGTGTCACAGCGATGAACCGAATGCCATCGAAGATTTGCGAGTTGCCCGCATGTGCAGCAATATGAATTATGTCTTCACCTGCCTCTATCCGGGATTTATGGTTTATCAATGGCATGCTGAAAATAAAACCATAGAAAATAAATTAGACTGTTCAAAACTGTTACCCTGTTCGGAATCGTTAAAGAGTATTGCTATTGATGAACACTTGAGTCTTATTAAATGTCAAATTTCGGCATTATGTACGCATGGCCAAGAGTTGTATATTGGTACCACTTGGGGTTGTTTGATAATAGCTGAAGTGAATACTCTGCGACCTGTTGTCGTATTTCGTCCATATGAAAATGAGGTAAGTAGATTGTATTGTATTTCTGTATATCAAATACCCACAATAATGTGTGAAGAAAATATAAATTGAATCGAAATAATTGTTAACAGAATTTGTTATGCAGTGATGTTGCAACAAATTTCAATTTTTTTAATTATCAGGATATTTCAACGAATGAAAGAGGGGATAAAAATCACGGTGCGCAAAAATTCGCTCGCGAATAAATTAATATAAATTATGTTCGTTTTGTGCTCATTTAACGAATGAATTTATGGCGATAAATTCTTTACCAAACGAGCATTCGCCAAATAATGTTCGCACACACATAACAAACGAGTGAGAGCACACAAAAACGATCGTTCGTTTCGTTTGGTGGTTGAAATTCTTTCTGACATTCTCTCACGAATGAAAACAAACATTCCCGAATTCTCGTGAATGCTCAAAACAGCAACAAGAACACAAACAAAAGCAATAGGGCTGCTAAAACAACAACAACAAACGTTTGTAAACTCAATAGTTGTTCGCGAACATTTGTTTTTTGAGTTTTCAAAAGAGTGTTCTTCAGCAACAAATGCTAGCGAAAGAACGAACCGACGACGCTTGCAGCGAAATTTCATCGTTCGTGAATTTTTCGTGCAATGCGAACATTGTTCATTGTAACGTGAATTCATTGTAACTTTATCATTCGCGATAAATTCAAAACATTCGAATTCTCGCGCGTAAGCATTCGTGAGAAAGAACGTATTTTAATCATCTTCGCACCCTGATAAAAATAGAAAAAGCTTGCAGATATAGCTCCCATATATAGTTTCGTCCGATTTTATGTAAATGGAGTACTATACAGCCAATATTTGTCCGATTGTGACAACATTTTGCACAGAGTACTGAATTGGGTCCAGATTGATGTATGCGAAGTTTTTTTGAAATCGGTTCAGATTTAGATATGGCTCCATATAGTTAGTTTCGTCCGATTTTATATAAAAGATGCACCAAACTCAAATATTTGTCCGATTGAAACAAAATTTTGCACAGGGTACTAAATTAGGTCCATACTAATGTATGCGAAAGTTTTTTGAAATCGATTCAGATTCAGATATAGCTCCCATATATAGTTTCGTCCGATTTTATGTAAATGGAGTACTATACAGCCAATATTTGTCCGATTGTGACAACATTTTGCACAGAGTACTGAATTAGGTCTTGATTGGAGTATGCGAAATTTTGTTGAAATCGGTTCAGATATATATATATATATATATATGTGTATATAGCTCCCATGTATAGTTTCGTCCGATTTTATGTAAATGGAGCACTATAAATGTATGCGATGTTTCGTTGAAATCGGTTCAGAATTATGTTTCATACAAATGGTACACACAAAAATCCAAGTCTGTCCGTTTGACATGCAATTTTTCATTGATTTTAGAATGGTATGTGTATGGGATTTTTTTTATTTATTTATTATAGTATTAACATTGTAGTAAATACAATGCTAATAATAAAAGTATCTAGCATTGGCTACAATGGCCATCAGCTAAATCGGAGGATTTTTTTTTTAATTGGTTTAAATATCTATGTATTTATGCAAATATCTATAGGATATTGTACATATTTTCATCTCTTATATGTACCAAAAATGGTGAAGAATATCATATTATCGACACGGACCGACTTTTGAACTTTCCTTACTGGTTTTTTATAAATTTACATTATAAAATTAAGAGTATTTTCAACAAATTCTTTGTTGACTGCAATAAGTGATAATTAAACATCTTGCAGAAATGTGTCAAAATATTCAATAAGATTGCATTGAATTTCACTATTAGTTACAATAGAAACGAATATTTGTAAACAGGATATTTATTTGTAAAAAAGTATCTCCCATTTTAAGTGCACCATTTTTAGGTTGCCTCCACCCCCTCTTTCTCATAATCCGTTGGAATTTCTCTGTAATTATTTTTTGTGTGTTGCACAGTGTAATTTAAATAAACATTTTTTTTAATTACAGATCAAAACAATTGTTGCTGTACCACATCCCAATGTACCGCTTATTGCCACAATTGGTAGACGTTATCGTTCACTGATATCACGTTATATGGATTCGCCCGAGAGTTCCAGTAGTAAAAATGTATCAACACCGACACATTTTGATCATTTCAAGAATCAATACAAAGCAAATCAGCCACAAGATATTGACAGTCATATTCATGTTCTTTTGTGGAAAGCCAAAGATTGGACATAGAATTGATGGGAGGATAGGGATTTTATGGTTTTAAACTAGGCACTGTAAAACGTGAATAATTTATTTTTTAATAATTACGTATGCATTATTTTACTAATTATGTTAGCTAACTATTGTTTAGAGTGGCATTACAAATATTTACTTCCAGAAAAAACCGAATCTCTCAAAAATATTATATTTTTTTTGTATTAAATTAGTTTGAATATTTTAATAATGAGCATTTTAAACAACGATTCCATTTATTTTTATTTGAATTATTTAAATTTTAAAATAATCATTCCTTTTTTAAATATCTACATTTTCTTTATCAAACATTTATTACAACATTTTATTTAAAAACAGTATTATTAATATTTATTAAATATTTAAATAATATATGTATATTTTTTTCTGAGTATATATTTCAATTTATTGTGTTTTTGTGCATCATGATAAAATGAATACAACCACAAATTGTTAACATTCCATAAACAAATTTCAATTTAAAATTCGACATGTTTTTAAACAAAATAAAATACAACAAAACATTTTTTTCCAGCTTATAATCCCACGTGAAAAAAAACCGAAACCTCTTTTTGTCTTATCAATTCATTTCAATGGAATTTTCAGCTTCCAGGGATTCAATGGTACAAGATGAATTACGACTGGGCGAATAAATCGAATTGGATGATTTCAAGTCACGTGTATATGTTGTGAATTCCAAAACAAATTTAAATTCCTCTTTGAAGGCGGCTTTCAATGGTACCTGTATAATTTTAAAAATTATGTAATTTTAGTTTTTTTATTTTAATTTCTTTTTATTTATTTTTTCATTTACCTTATGACTTCGTGCTTTGCGTATAACAAACAATATCCAACTGATAATGCCATGTATCATTGCCATACCACTACCCACAATGAGAACAATGTAAATACCGCCTAAATTCTCCATATTCAAGGGGGCAGCATCAGCCTGTTCTTGTTTGGTCTGTGAAGTGTAAGAGAATTATTAAATAAAAGTGGATTCAAGATCCTGATGAGCTATGTCGAAAAATATGCCAGTGATTGAAATGTTTTTCGAAAGAATCAGATAAGTATACGCATTTAAAGTCAATTAATTTTTGTAGCATCAACCTTATTGCTAAGTAGGGCAAATATACTCTTATTGTTTTCGAAATATCGGACCAAATCCGTTTTAGACAATTTGTACTCGATATAGAAGTGCACGATCGTCTTGCTGATTAATGTGCACCAATTATCGATTTGAAATTTTCATATTTAAATCAATACCGCCAAGGTAATTGAGAAGCCAACATCAATCCAACGACGGTCGGTTCTATGCACCGGATTGACTCGATGGAGCCAATCTTCGACCAAGGGTAGTAAACCCAGGAAGTACACTTTCGTGTATTTTTTCAACAAGGAAGCTAAATTATCCGGAATGATTGCTCCGGGTTCTTCTGGGCCGGGATTGAGAAAAACCCCGGAGAATGGTTTTGCTCCGTTTGTCATAACCGCATCCACCATAGGTCTATATAGGTGAGATGAAACGGATGCGAAGAATGGGTACATTTTAGGAGTTGTTCCGGTCTACAGCGGGTACAGGAGTATAGCGGAAAGGACTACATTGCATTGTGCTGCGGCAATGCAGACCCCAGCGAGTCGTCGTTATCATCGTGATCTACGATGACAAAACTAACACCACACATTGCTGTTATAACACCTGATAATGTCTCATTTCTCCAATTCAACTGAGATAGACTTCGAGGGAAGATCAACGAGATCGTGGATTTTATGCGTCGCAGTAATGATGGATACAAAATCAAAAGGCAGGTTAGTATGAGAGGTGGAGCAAAATCGATCTAATAGTACCATTGTGTCCAGTATAGACCTATATCGCTTGATCTATACTCTAGTGACACATACACCGAGGTTGAGGTGCTTAACGTCTACATTTCGCCGTTAAATAGCTGTGTTCTGCGTTACTTGACAGATGCGCCATCTTTTAAAAGGCAATAAACTTCTGATGCTAGGAAATTGTAATGTCCATCATAAATTATGGCATTCCGTTCTAGATAATGACCGAGAGATAACTCAACATTTTGCACAGTGAATAGACACAGCCGCCAGGGTAAGAGGAGACTGTCAAGCACACCAGGCATATCAATCGTGTCTCCAGGGTTTAGGAATGACGTGTGTTGGCATCCTGTCATTTCATTGGGGTCTGATCACCTCCCTAGCTGGATGAGCTAGAAGTAGAAGACCTAACCAACGTCCTCAATTTGCCTACAGTCACCCTACTAGTTTTCGATGCCTGGAAAATGTGCAGGGTGGTCCTGATACTGTCTTTGCTGGCAAGGATGCCATTTCATACTGGCCGATCTAACTAAGACTCTTGAGGCATCGCTACTCTCTAGCATTCGTGAATGCTACTCAGTTGCGGATCATGAACATGGATTCCGGAAGCAGCACAGCACAACAACAGCTTTACACGCCATTTCCACCAATATAACGGAGGTACTCAACCAGAATGATCCCTGTAATAGGCCGCTGGACTTATCAAAGGCATTGGATGCCGTAAGTCACGCCAAGGACGTCGAACGAACAATCCCATAGCCAGGTTTGAAACGTTGGACCGTAAATTATATGTGTGGACGCCAGTCGTTCGTGGAATTTAGAAATAAGAAATCGAAGGCCGTAGAGTTATATAGGAAGTTTTCCAAGGAGGGGTGATATCTCCGGAATTTTTTAACCTCCAATTTTCTGACATATGCGAGTTATCTCGTGGATATAGCTGACAATTTTCGGACGCCCACATTGTTTATCATATGGACATCGGAGAATGTAAAAAACGATGGTTCCACAATTCCGACCACCAAAAGATCAAGAGCAGGAGCAAGGTTCTCAAGCTTGCCAGAATGCCTCCCTAAGGACTGCAACAAGGTGTCTCCTCAAGACTCCAATAGACCACTTCCATGATAATACGACGATCCTTCCTGTGCATTGTCGATGCAATATCTGATTGGGTTTTATAGAAGTAGCTACCCAAACCATCAACATATGGATAGGCAACCACCACCTTGGCATATCTGGAAGGATCTTCATGATATTGAGAAAGAGTGATGTCCAGAGGTACAAAAGGTAGCCTATATATGAACAGGCCTATTGAAATGATTGAATTGTATCCACACGGATGCAATTGAGGAAGTAATTCATGAATACAGAGTAAATACAATCCTCGGAGAATATCCATCTATGATAGCTGCAGAAGATGTCATACTTACCGAACATAAATTTGCTCCCATTTCTCTCCACCATTTCCGTTTTAGTTTTTCCAATTCGCCTTGTTCCTGTAGTTCCAGTAGGGCGTGATTAAAATTATCTCTATAGGCCCAATCTAAGAAAAAAAATCGTTAACTCATTGCTCCCTTATCATTTCGCTGCCTACTTACTTTTTCTCATTGCAATGCCATAACCCTTTTCATCCAATGTTTGTCCCACTTTCGCCAGATTACATTCCCTTACCGTGTGATATTCAATTGAAGTGGATTCCATAAGAAATGCATAACGATTATTCTTTTTTACATTTTCCACACCTTCTTGATTTGATTCCGTCAGGAGGTGGGGATTTTTCGTTAAAAACTCATTCATAATTTTATATGTTGGATCGGTGGAGGTCTGGAGAAAAAATATAAATAAATAATAAAGAGTCATAGAGTCAAACAAATGAGAAAGGTACCGAAAAGAAATTCCTTGTGGAACCAGTACGCTTGGCGCCATATACCACACCTTCCTTGTTGGCAGCCAAGTCCTTGACATTTTCAATTAAAACCTTTGGTGTTTCCACTGTCAAGAAAGCAGCCAAATTGGCGGTATAGGAAGAGACCATAATCAAAGTAAAGAACCACCATATGGAGGCCACAGTTCTGACCGAAAGAGCTCTTTAATATAATGGAAACCAATTATAAATTTTATTTTTGAAAAGTAATAAAAAATAATTACTTTGGGGCAATATCTGAACCCTGCTGCAATAAAGCACCCGTTGTAAACCATATCGAATTACTCAAAGTAAATTGATTCTCCAATTCGGTGGGTTCTTCAATGCACGGGCAGGGGTTATCCCATTCCGATGGCGCCAAGCGGCCCAATATAAAGAACGACAACGAGACTCCAATAAATGATAAACCCAAAGCTTGCCATACATCGTTATTGAAAGGATCCATAAAGGAGAAAATGGAGGAAGTATCCTTCTGGGGTTTGGTGAAGAGAATTGAAATTCCTACATAGGGAAAAATATTTTAAAATTTTTTTCAAATAATATACGACGTTTTACAAACCCAAATTCATAAATGGTGTGGTAAAATCAATGGCCTCCTGTCTCTCGGAGGTAATGGTTAAATCGGATATGGCCAAATCGGCACGCTGAAAAGAGAGTTATGTTATATTGTGACTCCCTTGTGAATAATTAATTTACTTACCCCCTCCATAATTTCTTTAAGCATGCCTGTGGAAGTATTTGTCTCCTTGATGTACGTGCCATAATCATTTCCACTGGGTATGAAGGTGTAATTGAAACCCAATTTAGCTGCCAAGAATTTGATCAAATCCACAGCATATCCTTCGTATTGATTATTGCCCACCAGTTTCTTGTGAGATTCAACAATGCTGGCATAGGGTTTATTCTGTGGGGAAAGGATAAAGAGAGGACGCAAAATATTATTTTAAAAATTCACGCCCTTAAAGTCTCTTCCAAAATATTATTTAAAAATTTAAGCCCTAAAAATTATTCTAGAAATTCAATTCCCTTAAATCCCGCTTCATTACTCCTTTCCCGAATTAAGTTAATATTGTAACATCAATACCGGAGTAAGTAAACTGTGGGCAACGGTTAAGTCGCTCTTTAACCCAATGTTCAACGGCGTTGTGGTGGCTATAGTCCCTCCCAAAAAAATGTTTTCAACCACTCTCCCGAACAAAACTTACCGGCACGGATAACAAAATCAAGAAAGTTTTATTTGCCAAAGAATTATCATTGGAATCATAGAGAGCTGTGGTCGGTGCCAATCGTTGGCTACTGTAGCCATCATCTTCGTTCCAGGTTCCAACTTTAACCACACCTGATGGCTGCAATTCGACAATATCAAATGTAAAACCTTTGCGAACATTACCATCAAAATATATTTCACCCGTTATGGTATTGGCTTCCATTTTCATCTGTGAATAGAGAAGGAAAAAGTGGTTATTATCTGGACTTGATATTGGATGTTGTCAAGAACCTACAGATCTCATGAAATTTTTGAATGTTGAACCATCTGTAGCCACACTATCACTATGTTCGGAACATTTAATCGGTTCAGGATTCAAAGGAATATGCTTGGTGGTTTCAGCAAACAATTGTATGGCATCATAGGTCAGAGCCATTTCCATGGTTATGGGACAGGAACCTAAAGGAGGCAAGAAAGAATGTTTGAGTGATAAAAACTTCAGAAATTGGTGTTAGTCTTGGGTCCTCAGAAATTGTAGAAATAAAGAACACAGATATTGAGGAACGAATTTTCTTCCATTAAAAAAATACCTCAGTGAACTAAGGTCCGATTTTTTTCTGTAGAAAAAAATACCTCAGTAAACTGAGAAAAAATATATCCCTGAAGCTGAGTTTCGACTTTTTTAACAAACAAATCAGAGGTCGGAATAAGTTCTTACCATTCTGAAATCCCTCACTTATTGAAGGATATTCCATTTTGGTCATAATTTGTTGAACAATTGGATTGTCAGGTGAAAACATGCGCAGACTGGTGATATTCGATTCGCTATATTTGAATTCTTCCAAATCGAAGGAATGGAAGTCCAAATTGCCAATGATATATTTGAAGTCTTCATTAATTATGCCAACTTGTTGGGCCTACAAAAAAATAAACCATACTATAAACATAACATATAAATTTCATTTCAATTTTCCATACCTGTTTCAAAAATTCCGGCATGGTTTCCGTTGAACCAACCACCACAATTTGTTTATCCGGTGACTTGCGCACCCTCCTCAAAACATCCTTATAATTACCATCGTAACCAATATCGTAGCGTAGTACGGTTATTATCGGTGCCTCGCTGGGTACATATTCAGCCATAAGAGCATTTAAAATATTCAAATATTCCGAAGATTCATAGAGAAATATGAAATTATTCCATTCAAAAGCGGTCAGCAACGAGTGTATGGCTTTTCCAATATCCTCCGAACTTGGATATAAATTAAAAGCTTCAGCAGCATCACCCATAAAGGAATAAAAATATGGAATATCTTTGGCATCGCATATGGACATTAGGTGGAAAGCGGTGTGTCTGGAAGATGGGCCCATCACCGCGCCAATGCCATTCTGTTAAATAGAGGAATAAAGGACATAGATTTGTTTGTCATATCGATTTTAAAGTCATATTCTACATACCTCCATCATTCCGCATAGAGTATTATAGCCCATAAAAGAATTTCCAAATGGTATTGTATCCGTTGTCACCTCCAGTTGGGTTCCATAAACTGCATTCGCGTTTTCAATGGCCACATCAACTACCAGTCCCATTTTTTCAGGTTCTCTATCAGTAAGTAGTCCTGTTGTTCAGAAAAAATAAGATTGTTTAAATTGTTAGGATTTTGAAAAACTTCTTAAAGAAACAAGTGAAAATTCGAACGGACCTAATTTTTATTCGCAATATTTAAAATCGATCAGAACGTATATATGCCATGGTAAATTACAGTCTGGACTATGATAAGACATACCATTTGTAAGAGGACTATGTAGAAATATGGACATATATTGAAAATGTTCTCTGAAGAAGTTGTTTGTTACCCAAGATCCCGTAATGTCATATTACCCCTACTTCCGAAACGTTGAAGCTAAGGACTAAATTTTGTTCTATAGGATAAACGTAAAAATGAACCTAAAAAAATGAGGTCCAAATTTCTTTCCATAAGAAAAAGGATCACATTTTTTGCTATAGAAAAAAGTACCTCCGAAACTGAAGTCCACATGTTAAATTTTTTCCTACAAAAATGAACCCTAGAAAATGAGGTCCAAATTTTCCCATAAGATAATGTACCTCTTTACCCAATTTTTTATATAAAAAAATTACCTCTGAAACTGAGGTTCAAATTTGTTTCCATAAGAAAAAGTACCTCTGAAACTCAGGTCCTATTTTTTCTATAAAAAAGTAACTTAGAAACTGAGGTTTAAATTTATTTCATATAAAAATGAACTTCAGAAAATGATGTCCAATTTTTTTCCCATAAGAAAAAGTACATCTTAAACAGAGTTCCCAATTTTTCCCTATAGAAAAAGTACTTTCGAAACTGAGGTCCAATTTTTTCTATAGAAAAAAGTAACTCAGAAACAAAGGTCCACATTTTTGTCTATAGAAAGAAATTACTTCAGAAGCTGAGATTCATTTTTTTATAGAAAAATTAACTAAATAAGAAATTACCCCAGAAACTGAGGTGCAAGTTTTTCGCTGAAAAAATACCTCAACAAGTGACATTCTGATTTTTTCTACAGAAAAAATATCAAGGATTTTTTCTATTAAACAAATCTCAGAATCTGAGATCCGTTTTCTGGAGTAAAAAATATGATAATTTTTGCTAGGAAGATCCAATGGGAATCTAACGTATTAAAAATACCGAAAATGAAGGGGTAACGCTGTATCGGGTTCAATTTTTGGTTAACAAACGTACTCAAAATATCAAATAATTTTAGTTGAGGTGGGAATAACCAAGTTTTTTTTTCCTTTTAGGATATATAAAATCTACATCCTTTTAGCATTCCAGTGGTGAAATTTTCATGTAAATATCTCTATTCGTTGCTGAGATATAACCATTTAAAGATTACCTTCTATCAAAATTTAGCTGCTACACAATTCTGTTCGCCTATTATAAGAAAATGTCTAAATTGTACGTTTTCCAAATGCCAGAATTTGCCGATCATGCAAACATAGTTCCCCAAATGCAAAGCATATGTTGAGGCGCCATAAAAATTACTAGAATGAAGGGAATTTCCAACTAACGCCTAAAAGTATGCTTTCGAATTATATCATTTTATGAAGCCACGTATAAACACTACAGACGATCTGGCAACATTGCTAGCGCAAATTTTTTCATTTCGGAAAATGTATAATATCGCTATTTTGATACCAGGCGAACAGAATCGTGTAGCAGCTATCTTTTGATAGAAGCTAAAATTTAAATGGCTATATCTCAGCAACGAATAGAGATATTTACATGAAAATTTCACCATTGGAAAGTTTAAACGGTGCAGTTTTTATATTTTTCACAGGGAAATAAATTTATCACCTATATACCAGAGGAAACCTTTACTAATTCTACCACTACTAAAATTGTTTGGATTTTTGGGCATGTTTTTCAACCTAAATGTCTGCAAGTTTATATTTTGGTTTCACATTGGCTAGAAAATATTCCTACCAACATTTTTAACGTATTAAGGGGACCCCCCCCCATTCTCGGTGTCAAAATTTTTGTTGATATAATTCGAATCTACACTGATTAAGGAATGTCTCTACAAAATTTCAAGTGAAAATCTCAAGAAGTCTTGAAGATATATCCGATTTATTGTATCAACATTAAGTGACGGCTAAAGGGCTTCTCAATGGTGTGAAAGTTCAATCGGTTCCAAATTTTGCAGCGTTTCTCTGAGAGTGTATAGCTCTCGTATGGCCAATCGTAAGATCTTCATTTTTTAACATGGGTAAAAAATCGTTTTTTAGACCAAAATCCTAGTTCATAGCCAGACATGTCCTCTTTCTAACACAGTAATTTTCGGATTCCGATGTTCCAGTGAGGAGTTATCATGCCCGCCATCGAAAATGTGGACTTTTCTTTGCAAATTTTTGTAAATTATTTTTCTTCCTTTTTAAATCTTCAAATATATATGTGCCAAGTTACAAACCTTAACAAGCATTGGTATTCATTTCCCTTAATGGTGAAAGTTTAGGGGTAGGGTAGTCATTTGGGTACGTTTTTCGACCGAAATAGCTCAATAAAATATGTAGGATTTACATTGGATGGCACACCTTTCTACCCAAGAGTATAAATATATGTGGATCTTTTGAGAATAGTAAATTTTCGTACTAAATGTGACCAATATTGGCCGAATTTTGGAATAGCCTTCATATAATGGTTACTCCGAAACGTCGGTATTCTTTAATGTTTGTGGACGTTTTTCAACCAAATTGACTGAAATTTAATATTTTTTTTTTTTGATTTTCATTTGGCAGAAAATCTTCCTACCAAAAATTGCGGATATTACTCAAGTTCCGGAGTAGCGATAACTTCCAAATTTTGGCATTTTGGGCATATTTTTCTGCAGTATTGACCTCAATTTGAGTTCAACGCCTTCTACCAAAAATCGCAATATCGATCCTCGTTCTGGTACATACAGTCCCCTTATAACAGAACGCGCAAATTGTTTGTCTTTGGAGAATTTCAGACATGGTTTTCAAACGTTATTATGCCCTTCACCACTCTGTAGCACAGAGTCTGTGCTACAGGGTATTATATCTTTGTGCATATGCTTGTAACAGGTAAAAGGAAACGAGATAGACACATGTTACTTTTTCAATTTTAAATTGTAAACAAAGTACACATCACATTTATGAGTATGGTCCGAATTGGATGAAATTAGGCACAGCTTATTTATTTAGTCCAAGGACGAAAAATTGGGAAAAATCGTTTCAGATGTACAAATAGCTCCCATGTATATTTGTGTCCGATTTTATGTAAATGGTGCACCAATGTCCCTATATATCATCCGATTTGCATGAAATTTGGAATAGCGTACTGAATTGAGACTAGAATGATGGGTGTTAAGTTTCCTGAAAACCGGTTCAGATTTAGATATAGCTCCCATATATATTTTCGTCCGATTAAATGTAAATTCTGCATCGAAGTCCCTATATATCTTTCGATTTCCTCGAAATTTAGAATAGCGTACTGCACTGGGCATAGAACGACGCGCGTTAAGTTTCGTGAAAATCGGTTCAGATTTAGATATAGTTCCCATATATATATATATATATATCGGTTCAGATTTGTGGTACGCAAACGACTCTAAATCTGCCCCAATAAAATTTAATTTAGTATAGGTTGCCGGAAGGTTCACTTATAGATAAAGATCCCTTATTTAGGTCCGTTCAATTTCATGTCAATGTTCCTTTGACAAGGCGATGTCTGTTAGGATGCATGCAATATATCAAAAGTGCTGAAGGGTGTCATATAGTCGGCCCAGTTCGACTTTACTACTTTCCTTACTGGTTTTTGATATGTTCGAGGTCCTAACACAAATTTACTAACCGGAGGATCGATAGTTTTATATATTTTTTCGGTCCGGTCACACTTTATGAGATTTTTATTTGTTTTTCATTATTTTCATTAAAATGTTGATAATTTATTGAGAGAGATGACAGGAAGGAGCAAAAAAGCGAGATCAGCATTGGGACGACTGTAAGGTTTTTGGAGAAGCTCATTTATATCCAGAAAAAAACAAGCTTAGTATACTCGAAATTGGATAAAAACGATATTGAGATCTTGCATGTGTCTAACACCGTCACGCAAAATATTCTGCCTCTGCACCTTAAGCAACGTAGAGCTGTGTAACTTTACGAACCAGGAACCCATAGAAAAACATATGAAACGTAGGAAATGGAGATTGATTTACTGGAATTCACATTATTTGAGAAAAACGGTTTAATATGGTATAGGCAGCGATTATCGAATTACTTCGTCAAAATATTAGGAGCCATTCGGGCAGCGTGTGAGGTTCTGCCTTTAAACGCCTTTAAACATAATTCGTGCCAAAGGTGACCAATTCGAACAAATCTAAATTTATTCTAAAAGTTGATGCTATTTCGGATTTTTTTTGCTTTCATTCAATAAAATTTAAAATTTTGGTGTTTGACTTTGTTGCAGTTTTTTATCTCAGTCTGTATTCATTAATATACCGGCATTTTTGAATTCTAAACAAAAAAAAAAGTAAATGTTTTTTTACAACAACAACATCCAAAAAACACACACAATATTTTCTAAACACTGCCATCCGAAATTCCCAAACAAATCTTTCAACGTTTAATATTAATAAAACATTTCAAATTGTTTATTTGAAAACTCTCGACAAACAAACAGTTTCTTTGCGTGTGTATGTTTGTTTATAAATAGTTCGTAATAATGTTCTATTTTTTCGTCAGACATGCCGTAGACAGTCTCCTACTTATACTAATACATGTCTATATGTAAATACAAAGAAATCCGAAAGATGTTTGTCACTCAGGCATGCCCTCATCCATTCATTCATGTAGAGTCACTTACCTAGGGTTATTTTATTAGACGAGTACATCATGTTGTTGTTGTTATTGATGCTGTTTCCATTGTCATCACCCACATCTCCGTATCTGAGATTATAGCCATATTGAGCATTTATTGGACAGATTTTCGAAAATAGCAAAATTAGTTCAATGAACCAGAATATCTTATTAGAAAACATTATTTTTTTTCGTTTAATATCTATTTTTCTTTTTTGCATATATATTTTTAAAGTAGTTTCCCCACAAGCGATGGAATTTTCTTTTATTACATATTTCTTGTTATTAAATTTCCGAATATTCTTTTGTCACCACCGTCCGCCGATGTTTTCTTATGCGAGAGTAAAGCTATACTGATCGCAGCCGTGTTGAGATAGTTTTCCAGTGCATTTTCTTATTGGAAAGAATTTTCATATTTTTGTCATGGTTTTTTGTTTTGATTTTCTCGTAAGAGAAAACTAATTTTCCAAGCTTTGTGGAATTGAAAAAAGCTTTCCATTGATGGATCCCGCTCTATATATAATATTATATAGATTTTGAAAAATGTTAGATTGTAATACATTTAAATAATTAATAAATTTATATTTTAAAATAAAGTGTGAAGTTTTATTTATTATTCGATGTATAAAATGCATATATTTTTTACCAAATACTTGACCATCCTCGGAGAGGTACCAGAAGAGGTTGGTTGGCCTATAGACGCCATCTTCGCATATAGAATATTTTTGGTAGAATGTGTGAAACCATTGAATCAAATTTAATTCTCTCCACATTAAATACCAAAAGAAGAGGACCGATATGCATTCCAATGTTTTGAAGAATATAAAATACAGACGATTTTCTATACATTTTGCATCACTGGCAAACACTTGTCGTCAGCGCCATCCATCTATTAGATCCGAAAATCGATTATGAAAAAATATAAACCTCATTGGTTTTTCCAATAATTTTGAGCTACTGTAGATATTTAAATTAATTTTGTGGAATGTGAAAGATACGATAGTAAATCCTTTGTGAACTAAAATAAAATAATTATTAAGGAGCATATGGCTTTTCCAATATCCTCCGAATTGGGATATAAATTAAATACTTCAGCGACATCACCCATAAAGGAATAAAAATATGAAATATTATTGGCATCGCATATGGGCATAATATGTAAGGCCGCACAAAAGTTTTGAAGATTATGAACTTAAGAAACTGAGGTTCAAATTTTTGTATAGAAAAAAGGAACTCAGAAACTGAGGTTTAAATTTTTTTGAACCTCAGAAAATGAGGTCCAAATTGTTTTCAAAAGAAAAAATACCTTTGAAACTGAGGTCCATTTTTTTGGATAGAACAAAGTAACTCAGAAACATAGGTCCAAAATTGTTCCCTATAAAAAAGTTTAAAAATTAATTAAGTAAGAAATTACCTCAGAAATTGAGGTGCAAGTTTTTTTCTCTGAAAAATACCTCAAAAAGTGAGATCCTATTTTTTTACAGAAAAAATATCAATTTTTTTTTATTGAAAAAATCTCCGAAACTGAGATTCGTATTTTTTTCTAGAGTAAAAAAGATGAAAATTTGTGCTAAGAAGATCGACGCTATATTGGGGTCTATGCCGAAACATTGATAATAATTTTTGTTTAAAAAACTTACCCAAAATACCAAATAATTTTAGTTGAGGGGGAATAGCCAAGTTTTTGTCTGGTTTGCAGGCATTAAACTTATTTCCTTGTGAGAAAAATAAAATCTACATCTTTTTAGCTTTCCAGTGTTGAAATTTTCATATAAATATCTCTATTCGTTACTGAGTTATAGCCATTTGAATTTTAGCTTCTAACAAAATATAGCTGCTACATAATTCTGTTCGCCTATTACCACAAAATTTTAAAATGACTACATTTTACATTTTTCAAATGACAGAATTTGCTTGCAATGTTGCCAGATCATGCAGGCATAGTTTCCCAAATGCAAAGCATAATTTGAGGCGCCATAAAAATTACTAGAATGAAGGGAATTTCACTCTAACGCCTAGAAGTATGCTTTAAAATTATCTAATTTTATAACACCAACACTGAAACACTACACACGATCTGGCAACATTGCAAGAGCAAGTTTTGCTATTTCGGAAAATGTAAAATATCGCTATTTTGGAATTTGTGATACCAGGCGAACAGAATCATGTAGCAGCTATCTTTTCATAGAAGCTAAAATTCAAATGGTTATATCTCTGGAACGAATGGAGATATTTATGAAAATTTCACCGTTGGAAAGTTAAAACGGTGTAGTTTTTATATTTTCCACAGGGAAATAATTTTAATGCAGGCACATAAGAGAAAATTGTTTGGATTTTTTGGCATGTTTTTCAAACAGAATAACTGTAGTTTTATAAATTTGTGTTCTCATTTGGTAGAAAATCTTCTTACCAAAATTTTTGAATGCATTAATGGTCAAAGTTTCGGGCTAGACCCCATCCTCGCATTATTCGGTATTTTGGGTACGTATTTCGACCAGATTGGCTCGAATTAAATAGTTGAATTTTCATTGGGTGGTACACCTTCCTATCGAAGAGATGGCGCTGACGAAGGGTTTCTAAAAAAATACACACCTCATTTACTTTGGCCATAACTTTTAAGTCGAAAAATTGCGTATAAAGTTGTTTATTTAATTAAAGAAATGCTTATTATTTATATATTTTATATTAAAATTTAAATTTATTAATGTTCGTGTTTATTATCCACTTCCTTCTCCGTCTTCTCCCTCACTCAAACTGCTACCACTACCATCTTCATCCGAATCGGTGGTAAATGATTCAATTGATTCCAATGATGAATTACGGCTACGGGAATAAACTGAGGCGGCACCTTTTAATACCCTTTCGTTGTTCCTAACATCAATGACAGCCTTTAATTCTTCCCAGAAGGCAGCACTATAGGGGACCTGAAAAAAGTTTTTTAAAATGCATAAATAAACAAGTAAATAAAATAAAAACCACTACACTTACATCATAGGTACGAGCCATTCGCCAGACATGGAAAAGCCAGCAAATTATGCCATAAATTATAGACATGCCAGAACCCACAATTAAAACATAATATATACCCTCCAAATTATTGACGGCCAGGGGATTGGCGGAACCGCTATCTGATTTGGACTAAAAAAGAATTAAAAAAATATTTATATTAAAAAATTAAAAAAAAATTAATAATTTCACATCACTTACTGTACAAACACTGGCACCCATTTCATTCCACCATTTCTTCTTCAGTTTAGCCAATACACCCTGTTCTTGTAATTCCAATAGGGCATTATTGAATTTATCACGGTATGGCCAATCTTAAACAGAAAGAGCTTAGAATGCTGAAGGTTCTTTATTTCTTTCTGAACTTACTTTTCTTCATTGCAATGCCATAGCCTTTTTCATCCAATGGTTCTCCGACTTTCTGCAGCTTACAATTTCTAACGGTATGATATTCAATGGATGTGGATTCCATTAAAAAAGCATACGTGGTACCACTTTTAACATCACTAGCCGTCACTTTGTCGACACCCTCTTGATTACTCATCGTCAGCAGATCAGTATGAGCCATCATATACTCATGCATTTTCATATAAGTGGGTTCTGAAGAGGTCTAAAATTTAAAAAAAAAAACAAAATAGTTTTTTTTTAATAATAAAGGAAAATATCGCAGGTGCCAAGGGTGGTGCTAAAATCTCAAGATGAAAAGAGAAATTCTACAGGCGATAAATGACCTGAATAGACACGGAATTGTCAAGGAGTTTTTAAAACGAGACCTTGGACCCTGAACCCCCGTGCTACTGAAACCATTAGAACTAATATTCTCAGGCTCTCTACAATCGGTGAATGGGGGTAAAAAAGCAAAAGTGACCGCCGTTGGTAGCCCCCCTGCCACCAACAATTGTTTCACAAGCCTGCTACTTCGGGAACGGTCCCCCACAGAGCTTCCGTAGCCGAAACTAGTACCATTTGAACTAATGGTAGCAGGCTCTCCACAATGAAATAACGGTTAAATGAGGATGAAAAACAGATTCAAAAACCAATACCTTTCGATGCCAATTTCCATGCAGTATCCCTTTCCCACCCGACGATAATTTCACAAGCCTATAAAATTCGGGAATAGTAACCCTTCTTGCTTCCATCCATGATCCGGGACTAGTATCCCAAAGGCACAGACAATACAGACAAACAAAACCAAAATGCGCTCACAAACGATCCGCAAAACCGAAAAACAAAACTTTATAGCAGTCCACAGGACTGTGACCGTAATTACTCGAGTATCCGGCCTCACGGATCAAACAGTGACTAGACACGCTCCCGAGTATCCAGTCAATCGGACCAGGCACCCAATAAACGAACAACCATAATCCCACGGCTGTACCGAATTGACTCGGATATGGACTCCGACCCGAGGCTGCCACTTCAACAAATACATGTTCGTGTGCGTCATGTTTGTCATGAGAGCGGCGTTATATCCCGGAATGACTGCTCCGAATCATAGTGGTCCGTACCGGGATAGAAAGGAACCCCGGAACCGCATCCATATATATCAATATCGGTAAGATGCAATGAAATTAGAGAATGGGCATTTTCAAGGTTTCTCCGGATTAGACCGGATCCAAGAGTACTGCGAAAATGTGATGGTCTTCGCAAGAAGATCAGCAAAATTGTGGAGTTTATGAGAATAATGGACGGTGCGATCCAGGAAACAAAGCTGAGCGTTGTGCGGAAGGATCGTACCAGAAGCGGAAGGGGGGGGGACTTGCATTCTTATTACATTATTTTTGCCAGCACAGACCTATCTCGCTTGAGCTAGACTCTAGTGATCCATATATTGAATTTATGGGGGTAGCAGTCAATTGTGGAATTGCCGAGGTAGATGTGCTAAATGTTTATATGCCGCTGATGAATAGCTGTTAGCTGTAGAAGGTAATAATCGCCTGGTACTAGGGGATTTCAGTGCTCACCATAAGTTGTAGCATTTCGTCCTAAGTAATAACCAGAGGGATACAACGCTGGCTGAACAAATTGAAAGCTCAACATTTTGCAGGTTAATGAGGATATTCCCAAGATAATAAGAAAATATTGATACAGTTCATTTTGGCACTGGATCTGACAAATGACATAGCCTGTCAACCAGTCATCGGCTCAGACCACCTTCCTATCATCGTCTCCACTTTATTACCTCTGAACGTCGTTCTTTCCTGAAAATTGGGAAAGCTGATTGGTCTGGGTTCAGAGTGTTTACCAATCACCGTTTTACCTGTCCTCGGGAGCTAATAGAAAAATCCGTAGAATCATCACCACTGCTGCCGCTTGCTACATTCCTGCTGGTCGAATACCCGAAGTAAGACCAAGCAGCTGCCACTACAAACTCAAGTAGTATTAGCTCAACTAAGATCAGGTTAGTGCAACCTCCTCAATTCGTATTGGGCAAGAATGTACGGCTCTATATCTAACACAAGCGTTTTGAAAAACACGTTTTGAAAAAATATAAGCCCTTTTCAAATCGCATACTTATCCTATAAGCCCAACTGTATATTTACTTTAGTTGTCTTCTTTATCATATTGTATAATCCCTCCCCACTTACCGCAAAGAAATTTCTTGTTGCACCATTCTTTTTCGCTCCATATTGTACACCGCCTTTATTCTCGGCCAAATCTTTGACATTTTCCAAAACTGTTGTTGGATTTTCAATGGTTAAGAAAGCGGCCAAATTGGCCGTGTATGATGATACTATAATCAGGGTAAAGAAACACCAGATGGCAGCAACGGTACGGGTGGAAAGAGCCCTAGAAGAAAATTACGTCTTAATATTTTCCGATTTAAAATATTATAAAGAACAAACTCACTTCGGGGCAATTTCTGAACCCTGCTGCAAGAATGCACCGGTTGTAAACCACAGGGCACTATTGATGGTAAATTGATTTTCCAATTCTTCGGGTTCTTCAATACAGGGATAAGGATTATCCCATTCGGTGGGCGAGAGGCGACCCAATATAAAGAAACACAAGGACACGGAGAGAAATGAAATGCCTAAATATTTCCAAACTTGTTTAGAGAAGGGGTCCATGAAAGAGAAGGTGGTGGGTTCACTTTTCTGTGGCTTTAGATATAAAATTGCAATGCCTAAAAATAATAAAAATACACACAGAAATAAAATAATTATAAAATCAATTAAAATCAAGTTGATTCAAAAATGTTCCTTATGATTATATTAATTTGTATTTTAAATCTAATACTTATTTGTTTTTTAAATATTTACCTGTATTCATAAAAGGTATGGTAAAGTCCACAACTTCTTCACGTTCCGATGTGATTGTCAAATCAGTAATGGCCAAATCAGCTTCCTAAAATATAGTCTATTATTTCCAAATACAATTTCATACTTGCTCCACACTTACCCCATCAATGATTTGCTTCAACATTCCCGTTGTTGTATTTGTCGTCTTATTAAATGAACCATAATCGGAGCCACCATTCCGCAACGTGAAATTAAAACCTAAAATATCTGCCAATTCTTTAATTAAATCAACACCATATCCTTGATACATATTATTGCCATTTAATTTTTTGTGTGATTCCACCAAGCTGGCATAGGGTGGATTCTGTAGAAAAACAATTTGAATATTTATTCGAGATAAGGAGGACATTTCAATATTATTAGAACTTACGGGAACTGATATCAGCACAACATAGGTTTTATTAACCATAGAATTGTCATCGAGCAATATTGTTTGCCTCTGCTGTGGTGGCCTTTCAAATGTGAAATTTTTATTCTCTTCCCAAACACCAATTTTTACCAGACCTGTTGGCTGTAGTTCTATAACATCCAGTTTGTAGCCTTTGCGACGAAAGCCATCAAAGTATATACGCCCCGTTAGGGTATTTTTGTCGAAATCCAACTGAAATACAAAAATAGAATATTTAAGGACTTTCTACAGATAAACGGTATTTTATATAAGGCCTTCCGTCGGTCTTTCTCAAGATCCAACAGATGCCTTCAATAAATGGAGCACCGTCCATAGGTTCTCAGCATACGGAAATCGTAGACAGGTTAAAATATAATATATATTTCAAAAATGTTTGTATAAAAAATCCAAGCCTTGTTGACCCTTGAAAAATCCAAATCCAAAAATCCAAATTCAAAAATCCAAATCCATGAAAAAATATTCTTTAAAAAATCGATGCTTTGTTGACACTTGCAAAAATATTTTTGTGTAGGTCCTTAATAATATTGTATAAAAAGTCCACGCCTTATGTAGGTCCTTAAAAATATTGTATAAAAAGTCCACGCCTTATGTAGGTCCTTAAACATATTGTATAAAAAGTCCACGCCTTGTGTTAGTCCTTGAAAAATATTCTTTAAAAAATCCAGGCCTTGTGTTAGTCCTTGAGAAAACATTCTTTAAAAAATCCACGCCTTGTGTTAATCCTTAAGAAAATGTTATTTAAAAAATCCACTCCTTGTGTTAGTCCTTGAGAAAATATTCTTTAAAAGTGCAAGTCTTACCGATCTCATATAATTCTTAAAAGTAGACCCATCCTCCTGTACATTATCGGCATCCAATTTACAATCCAGCGGTTGGGGAACGTATTGTATATTTTTGGTGGTCTCAGCAAAAGCAATGACCGCATCATAAAGTAAGGCCATTTCCAGAGTTATGGGACAGGAACCTAAAACACAAATTGATATTACAAATAATTCGACCGAAAAAATTTAATAGTTACCATACCATTCCTAATAATTTCATTATCAATTTCCCGAAGGCGAATACGATTCTGTGTCTCCACATCATCGGGATCAATTTCCGCAGCATCGACACGATCAATTTCATTGTAACGTTCATCATCGGACAATTTTTGTAAATAGCCCATTTCACGCATAAGATTTTGCACCTCAGGTTTTTCCGCGGAGAACATGCGAAATCCAGTAATATTGGCATCACTATATTTATATTCCTCCAAATCGAAGGTGTGGAAATCCAAATTGCCAATAATATAGGTATAATCTTCATTCATGATACCAACTTGTTGGGCCTAGAACAAAAATATTTTTTTTAAAAGAAAAATTCGAAATAATTTCAAAATTTCCAACTTACCTGTTTTAAAACCTCTGCCACCGATTCCGAAGAACCCACAACAACTAAACGATTATCTACCGATTTGCGAACTCTTCTCAAAACCGATTTATAATTGCCATTTAAATTTAAATCATAACGTAAAACGGATATAACGGGGCCATTGCTGCCATAAATGGTCATTAGGGCATTCAAAATGCTGAGATAACCAGCTGAAATAAGAAATATTTTAAAATTGTCATATACATCATCCCACACTTACCATTCTCATAAAGAAAAATATAACGACTCCATTCAAATGCTGAAATTACAGCATGTAGAGCCTGGGCTATATCTGCCGGATGTGGATGTAAATTGAATCCCTCATTGGCCTCACTCATGTGTGACATAATGTAGGGTACATCTTTGCTGTCGCATACATTCATCAAATGTAGACCTGTGGATAAGGCGGATGGGCCAAATACACCACCAATGCCACCCTATAGAATATATATTTTTAAATATTTGTATCAGTCGGAATTATAGCAATGCTTACCTGCATCATACGACACAGACGATCAACACCTTGCATAGAATTTCCGTAATTTATTTCGGCATGCTGCACTTCCAGTTGTGTTGTCAATTCGGCATTGATAATATTTGTGGCATTCTCAAAGGTGTTGCGTAGCAATTCCGAATTTAGATCCGTAATAAGGCCTTAATGAAAATTATGAAATTAATTTGGTGGAAATATTTTTGAAATAATAATGAAAAGTTAAATATGATATAATCCTACTAAAGGCTATAACTTTGAACCAGTGAGCAGAGCAGTATAGTCGGACGGGGCCGACCATATGTTACCCTACACAACCTTCACGAAAATCTAACTTTCTGCGGTTCTATACTCTGAGCATGGAAAATATTTGCGATGTTTGCACCCTCTTGACCGACAAGAGATCAACAAATATTACTAATATTCAGTACAGCCCTTCTAATTACTTGTCCAGATTCCCTTCACCGTGAGTTGTGTTGTGATGTTCGGCTTTCAATTGTGGCTTAAAGATCAACTCGAAAAACACAAAATAAGTTTTCGGTCCACTTCATCCTAATATTATTATCTGATCATCTCCAAAAATTACATCCTCATGAAAAATGTCAAAGCGATCAGCGCTATATTTCCGCCCTCTAGTGTGGTAATATGTTGCTAAATAATATATGAATACGTAAACACCTGTAAATATTTAAGTGCAACTCCCACATCCGAGTGCATTCGACAATATAATTGATATCAATTTAAAGGTCAAATACTCCTCTTGGATATACTGTCAACTTCTCGGGTCTATGCCTTTCAGGAGTAAATATATACGCCATACAATATAAATTTTGTAATTTATCACACCAAAGTCAGGGTCCAATTGACCCACTAAATATTGACCGATCTTTATCATGTATCAAATAAAGGCATGCTTATTCTTTGGTCCGATCTTCTTATGTACAAATTCTATATGTACAAATTCGCGATGTTTGGACCATAATTGCGGTCTCTGGAGCGACCAGAAAATTAGACAATCAATAAAGTCTTTGGTTCATTTCATCCTCTAAATATTAACCGATCTTCACCAAAAGCAATAGGGGTCTTCATTGACCAGAACCCATCCTGCATGCAAAATTGCGTGAAGATTGGTCCATAACTGTGGCTTGTATCGTGTTTACAAATTATAATGGGCAGACGGACGGACGGACACACATGTCTAGATCGACTCAGCTAGTCGAGATATGACGATCGGTATACTTAAAGGTGGGTCTAGGACTAATATTTCCCGGCGTTACAAACTCTTGGGGCTGCACAAAGCTATAATACCCTGACAACATAGTTGTGTAGGGTATAAAAACAGCAAAATATTTTTTTACTGAGAAATGTCACCCTTCCAACGAGCATACATCCATAGTTTACGAGAAATCTATCAGTACAGCCAAGAATAATGACAGATATAATAGGTAGCACTTCAATTAAAATTTGGTATTATTTAAAAAAAAAAAACTCATAAAAAATAATGAATATTCACAATAAAGTCAAAGCGTAGATTTAGAGCAATCATAGGCTTATAGGTAAATTATATTTGTTTCCTCCCCAATAATCTGTTACAATTATGAAACATCAACACTAGAGATTCCCATATGCTGAGGGAATACACCTGGTAATCCATTGTACAGATCTGTCCATTTCAACAAAATTATGAAAATCTCTTTTTGCTATAAAAACACTTGACGAATATATTAAGAACCCATAAGGTCAAATTCGACAGATGTCTAGTTGCGGCTATTGCCCATTATTTTTAAGATGACATGTCTTCAGTAAAATCGAATGAGGAATATTTGTGTAAAGCATAACCCTCTTATATCTCGAATCCTAGTAAGTTTTCTTCGTCCTCATTTTTTGAATTGTATGCAAAATAAAACAAAAATACATTTTAGAAACTACAAAAATGTCACTGGTGATGTCAAACCCATTAACCATTTCGGCGAATTCATTTATTTCTATAAATGCTTTAATTAAAAAAAAAACATATTTCTGCATTTTAACAAATACATATACATACATATAACTTAAACGATCCTTACCAATCGGTATGCGACCACCGGCCTGTAACGATATACCACCGTAACCATAATTATCCCGCTGTCCTTTAATAGGATGTTGAATAAATATAATTGTTATTAACACTAAAAACACAATTTCACGATATATTTTTTCCACAACAATAAACATTTTGTTTGTTTCTTTTTACATTCTCCGCTTTTCCGATATGTTTTCTAAATAAAATTAAAACAAAACTATTTTTAGCTTTTGCCGACAATGGGACAGCACCAACAAATATCACAACAAAACGTGTCAACCAACGCGTCTCATGCAATGTTTTTCGTCAAACAAATTTTCCGTGTTCCGCGTTGGTATCATCCAAACAAATGCATGGATGAAGAGTTCAATATGGACTGATCTTTAAAAAAAGAAAGAACAAAAAATGAGCAGATGTGGATATTCCAGTGACTAGGGAGAGAAAGCTTTTTAGGAAAGAAAAACTTTCCAAAATGTAAAAAATCGAACAGTTCATTTTATTCACATTTGAATTTTATTTAAAAATTATCACAATAATAAAATTTGTTTTAAAAAATATACTAAAAAGCTAGAAAAATCTTAAATTTAAGAAATATATATAATTGTTTGTATATTTTTATGGTGTAAAATACTTCGAAATTATTTAAAAACATAAAAATTGTCTACATTATAAACAAGATGGATATTGTTGTTTATATTTATTATATTTATAATTATTCTAAAGTAGATATATTCAATATTATTAACTAATATTTATAGTTAACCTACATTTGTATTTGTATTGTATAATACATATTGTGGCACATTTTTGTATTTTATATCATCGTTGGTGTATCTTGCTTGTGAGTGTGGGTGGGTGAGTGCTTTAGTGATTGTTTAATATCGTCTTATGTTGATAGATGGCGTTGTTGATCATTTGTATTATATATTTGTTGCAATAGCTAAAAAAAAGAAAAACAAAGTTATTGAAATAATGGAAATGTAAATAAATGTAATAAGTAAGAACGTGGTTTAGTTCGGACGGACCGAACTATTACACACTTCAGGAGAAATGTAAGGGGACCAGATTTGGGAAAGAGCAAATTAAACAATTTTTATACCCTTCACCACACTGTGGTACAGGGTATTATGTCTTTGTGCATATGTTTGTAACAGGCAAAAATAATCGAGATAGACCCATGGTTCCTTTTGAGAATATGCATAGAATCACTTTCTGAGTCGATTTATGCATGTCCGTCTGTCTGTCCGTCCGTCCGTCCATGTATTTTTGTTAACAAAGTACAGGTCGCATTTATGATCCGATTTCGATGAAATTTGGCACAAGTCACTTATTGAAATTGGGAAAAATCGGTTCAGATTTAGATATAGCTCCCATATATATTTTCGTCCGATTTAAGGCAAATGGGGCACCAAAGTCCCTCTATATCATTCGATTTGCACGAAATTTGGCACAGAGTACTGAATTAGGTCCAGAAAGATGTGTGCCAAGTTTCGAGAAAATCGGTTCAGATTTAGATATAGCTCCCATATATAGTTTCGTCCGATTTAAGGTAAATGGTGCACCAAAGTCCCTAAATATCATTCGATTTGCATGAAATTTGGCACAGAGTACTAAATTAGGTGCAGAATGATGTGTGCCAAGTTTCGAGAAAATCGGTTCAGATTTAGATATAGCTCCCATATATAGTTTCGTCCGATTTAAGGTAAATTGTGCACCAAAATCCCTATATATCATTCGATTTGCACGAAATTTGGCACAGCGTAATGAATTAGGCCTAGAATGATGTGTGCCAAGTTTCGAGAAAATCGGTTCAGATTTAGATATAGCTCCCATATATAGTTTCGTCCGATTTAAGGTAAATGGTATAAGGTAATAAGGATATTGATTGAAAAAAGTTTTTTAATGTCACAAAATACAGAATAATGGATATTGAGTGATCTATAGTTATTTCAACAGACATTGATTCAGATTCCGATCAAGAATATATGTATATACTTTATGGGCTCTCAAGTGAACATTTGGAAGTCTTACAAACGGAATGATAAATTCTTCACATGGAATCTGGAAAGCAAATAAAAAAAAAAAACAAAAAAAACAGCCAATGGAAAAATTAAGATGCGTGCTTTCATTGTTAAAAAATTGCGAATGCGTCTTTTTGAACACCTGTTTCTATATGAAGGACTTTCCAAATCGAAACAAAATTTATGTTTCGAAATCACTTAACTTTTTTCTGTTTATACCGCGCTTTTTGTGCTAGGCTTAGAATTTTCCGAACTGCCCTCGTATGTTAACTCTTTTAGAACCTCCTCCACATATGGCAAACTATTTGGTAAAAACGTATTTTTATATTTTACTTGGAACGAATGACGCATATAGTTTCATTCAAACTTGACATATACACTGGTGATCAAAACTAAAGCAACTGAAATTGCAAACTGAATAAATGACCCGTAATATTTTTGAAAATAAAATTATAGTGAAAGTTTTTACGGAAATAAATAGGTTACTTTTTTATTTTTAAAAACAAAAAATATAAACACAAAATTTATTTATTTTGAAAAAAAATCTATGGAGAACTAAATTGGCCCAACTTTTGCATTGTCAAAACTCAAGCAACATTTTGATTTGTTCTTATAAATAAGCACATTTTGTCTAGTAATCGACAACGCACCTACGAGGCATTGAATCAATAAAATGTTCAATTTGATCCTTGGGTATACTATTCCTAGCATCCTTGACCTTTGGGAAGAGGTTATGTCTATTTGTTTGTGAAACTCTTTTGATTTTGCTATCTATGATACCCCTAAAAATTTTTTATTTCGGTAACGAGTGATAGTACGAGACACAAAAGATTTATTCACATTTAAATGTTGGAGTGCTCTAACGATAGTCACTTTTGGTTTTCAAGCCAAATATAAAGAAATCAAACTATCACGCCTGAATTCCATCCACCATTTCTGGAAAATTCTCACCAAAATGTTTTCATACGCTTGTAAACTGGAATAATTTTAACAGCTGTCGGACGAATGGCTTAGAAATTACAGCAGTCTGAAGTTGCTTGCAATTTAATTTCACCCTGTATATCGAACTCCATAAAAATAAAAACATCACCATACCATTATTGTAATACCGAGACTTGAGCCTTTAGTAGTTTGATCTTCTAACTGTATTTTTTTCGTGCCGGAGCTCTTTATATTTAACTTTATTTCATTCGAGAACATAATACTTCTCCTCTAAGTCGGATTCCAAATAATACGAGCTTTTTCAGAAATAATATGGCTTTCATGATAATTTCCGGCTCATTCAGCTCGTTCACGCTCTGTTCTTCAATTTATATTCAACGATAACCGTCTCACAAATTCCTTTGAACTCTTAAATGGGTATTTTTTATTTTGCAGTCTTCTTCCGTGATGATCGTCCACTAGCAATTTAGTTGCATAAAACCAATTTATAATGCGAGAAATCACGGATTTATTTATGGATTATTTCTCCAAAATAATTTTTGTGACACATTTTTCCATAATCTTACCAGTGATTATGCTGTATTTTAGTTGTACTGTATATTTTTCTAGCCATTTTTATAAAAATAAATAAATTAATATTATTAAATAAACAAGTGAAAACGCGTTAAGTTCGGCCAGGCCGAACTTTGGATACCCTCCACCATAGGTATACTGACATGTACTAGAAATGAAAATATAGGGAACATACCAAAAAGTGGACCTATACCGACATTTCTAAAAAGGGATTATGTAAACCATAATAAAAATTTCAGAAATTTTTAATGGATAATTATACCCTCTGTCTTATGGCTAATAAGGGTGTTTACAATTTAACACGGTGAAAATGTGCCTCATAGAAATATTGGTTCTAGACCCCAAGTTTCTTTGGACCAAGTCCGTTTCAGAAAATTTAGATTGCATCCAAACTTTGCCCATCTTATTATTTCTTCCAAACTTAGTTCAAATTCAAAGATGGGGAATATCGGTCCACTCTTTCTGGAACCTCCACACAGGGGCTAGGTCTAAATGCGGCTATAGTTCATTATCGAACCTTACGTTATAATTTCGTATCTCGCTATCTTCCGCAGGAGAAATGATTACAACAGAATCTTAGAACCAAACTCAAAACGCGGAACAAATCAGATAACTATTTTAATATAAAAAAGGGTGTTATATGGAGACTACCCCAAAAAGGGGGCAAATAATAATAATTTTTGGTAGGGAGATTTGTTACTATATACAACTACAAAATACCAAATTGCAGCAAATTCGGTTAAAAAACGCGCTCAAGAATCCCAAAATACCGAAATTTGAGGGTACCCTTACATGGGGTCTATCCGAAAAAATTGACCTGTATTCATATTTTTTGTGGGGAGATTTGGTACCTATTAAGGACTCAAAATACTAAATTACAGCCAATTCGGTGAAAAAATCTGGACAAAACCCCCCAAAACCTGGAAATTGGGAGGTACCATTATATGGGGGCTACCAGAAAAAGTGGACCTATATTTATAATTTTTAGTGGGGAAATTTGGTACCCATTAAGAACCCCATGTACCAAATTTCAGCGAATTCGGTTGAAAACCGCTCTCAAGAACCCTAAAATACCGAAAATTGGGGGTACCGTTATATAGGGGGTACCAGAAAAAATTGACCTATATTTATAATTTTTAGTAGGGAGATTTGCTTCCCAATAAGAGCTCAAAGTAGATTTCAGCGAATTCGGTTGAAAAACACGCTCAGGAACCTCAAAATACCGAAAATTGAGGGGTACCCTTATATGGGAGCTATGCCTAAACTTGGACCGATATATCCCATCTTCGAAGTTGGCCTGCCTGCAAACAAAAGACAACTTCATGCAAAATTTCAGCACCATATCTCAATTCCTTCAGAAGATAGCGTGATTACAACAGACGGACGGACGGACATGGCTAGATCGTCTTAGAATTTTACCCGGATCAAGAATATATATACTTTATTGGGTCGGAAATGAATATTTCGATGTGTTACAAACGGAATGACAAAATTAATATACCCCCCATACTATGGTGGAGGGTATAATAAATTAATATTTATTTCATTATGATTAAAACTGAAAAACATCAACTATAAATTTATTTTTGAAAAATTTATGCGGAATTTATTAACCATTCAATTTTAGTTGCTTTAGTTTTGGCCACCAGTGTATATTTTTTACCTCTTACCAAATGTTATTGAATCGTCTTCTAAAAGTTTAAACAAATTTTTCCCCAGGTAAAATATATTCATAAGGTTTTGAAATATCATCCGTCCGATTTTCTGTGTCTAGAAGGTCCAAACTGGATTTCCGAATGGAATTGTACAATTTTCAATTTATAACCGACTTTCTTGATGAAAACATATCAATTTTGATAGATTCTCATATAAAGAAGGCCCTAAACGAACTTTTCCAACTGAATTAGCTGAATTTATGATTTGAAACGTTTTAGGTTTCTAGAAGTATTTTTCAACGGAAGTAGATATACTTTTTCGTGTGTAGTAAAATTCTTTTGACATTTGCAAAATAAAGAGTGGTGAAAATTGGTATTTTGTAAAGATAATATAGGTAAAGAGTAAAATTATCTCTGAAATATATGTTTTATATTCCATTTCTTATGGATATAACTTTTAATAGTCAAATTTTGGGAATCTTCTCATAATGTGTAGGATTTTCCAATTATGTCTCCAGGACATTCACTTTTCTACTTTTTATTGAGTGAAACAATAAGGGGCCCTGTCTTTATTATTGAAAACGATCAATCAGTAATTTTTCTATGAATCTAGGGATCATTTGGTGAGCCTTTCGATTTGATGTATGTACATGTTTACAATATTCCCTCTTTTAGTCCCATATTTCAAAACATATTCACCCATATGGGACATGACACTGTTTCTGTATTCGATGTGGATGATGATGATGACGAGTATCCTCGTTTACATGTTCTTGTTGCTGATGCTGATATCATGTTAACTTGTTATGGATTCGAAAATCTAAAACAATGACAATTGATTGCACGCACCACCAGAATGCAGTCTAATTGAGAGTCACTGCTTACAATCGGAGGGAGAACTAATTGATGAATGAATGAACTGACGCAACTCCATTAAATTAATGGGTTAAGAGATGATGATGATAGTGATGGTGATGAAGCGCCAACAGCATGCATATCTATTAAGAAAAAAATGACTATAAGGGGTTCAAATCGTTGATTTATGGCGTTAACTCCGGCATAAGATGGGATGGGTATATTAATTTTTGTAATTACTTTTGCAACACTTTGAAATGTTCACGGATATCTCATAAAGGTTAGAATAAAATTCTATATCGGTTTGCCATATTCGTATGTATGTTGAAATCGCAATAGAGCTTCGCAAATAAATTTCTATATTGGTCTACGTTTCATATAACGATACCCATTTCGTTCGGTGTTTTCGAACCAAAGCGGAATTTCAAGTTTTTAGAGGGTTAAAACAGATATTTGGAGGAATTTTTCAACATTTCAATTTAAGAATTTTGATATTCCTAGGCACATTTTCCAACAAAAGTGGTATTCCAGCTTCTTAGTGGTTAAGAAATGTATTCGCAGACATACCAGATTTTTCAAATAGACTAACAATATGCAAGTAGGATAAAAATTGTTTTTGCAGGCAATTAAATATGTGGGCTGTTTCCCTTAAACAAAACGAACATGGAAGGAAATCGGTGAATAACGTCACAGTTGAGAGGCTAAATACCTCGTTGATCTGTCCACGAGTATCTTCATGTCGTCATCCTGAGATCGTGAACAAACATTATGGTACATGTGTTGGTATCTTGGCATCTGTGGTCGAAGATATCGTTGTCAACCAACTAGAAAAAATGGATCTGAGTTTAAGAACCATAGGGGAAGAGAAATTTCAACCCAACCTTCTGAGACAAGCGGGGACTCAAATTCCGAGTCTGAACACGAGATTAAGATCATCTTAACCGTCTTAGAATATCGGAGGAGCAGCTTTTCGGGACTCAAGGTCGGAAATTGGACAAGACGAATCGGAGAGGCAATTACGAACAGAAAACTGATGTTCAAAAGGATATGTCCGAACTTTCTCCCACTTGATCGGTAGCAGCGAATATGATTAGGTCTCCGGAAGAGCGTTCGAATGTCCGTAAAAAGGAAAAAGATTTCTACATCGAATGATATAAAGAGTAGCGGAGCCAATACACAGTTGAAGAGACCGCCACGAAATACCTTCGACTTAGGGCGTCGATGCTGACTATAATGCCCAGAGAAAAGTTCTACTAACAAAGCGTCTGGTAAAATAAAATAGAGATCCATAAGAAGGTGATGGATGCGGTAAATAGTAAGATCATAGAGCACCAGCTGCAAGAAGGTGATATCATCGATCTGGACAGAGCAGACAATGCCCAAGCGGCAAAAAAAGTGCTTTACGTCGACTGATATAAATAGAAAGCGAAGCCAAATGAAAGTTGAAGGTGACTGCAACGAGATTCCTTCGACTTAGGGCGTCGAAGTTAGTTTTATTGTCCAGGTAAGAGCTTTACTAATAATGCGGCTGTTAAAAAGCACTAGCTGCAAGAAATGGATAGATCTCCGGAAGAGCAGACAATGCCCAACCGACAAAAAAGAGCTTCCCATCGACCGATATAAGGGGAAGCGGAGCCAAATCAATGCTGAAGGAATCTATCGATTTAGGGCATCGAAGTTGACTCTAATGTCCAGAGAAGACAGAGAAGATTATACAGCACCTGCTGCAAGTATGGACCCCATCGATCTGAGTCTACGAACAGCAATTAAGCTCTGAGGAAATTAAGCTCTGACAAGCCATGTCCCCTAAGCGATACATTTTTGTTCTCATAAGCGAGACTTTCTAAAACTAAAATAGCATACAAAAGTCAGGATAAGTTTATACTAGGCCAAGGGCAATATCTGTAGGCAACACCGACTTCCACTTTTTTGCTTGTTTTGGTTCTCATTTGGTGTCAAATATCACTACAAATATCTAATTGGTATTTTGGGTTCTCATTGGGTAGTAAAGGTCTACCTCGCATTTTTAAAACGAACAGACTATATTTTAGGTTTAAGAAATGACAGTAATTGTGGTGGATAAACATATTCTTCCGAGAATACAAGTTTTCACCCAGAGCGTATGTAGTGTGGCAGCAGTTTAATATGGTATAATCGTCGTATAAAAGTCCCGATGGATTTGAAGTATTTTAAATGGTGTAATGGAATGGATGGTGTAAAAAGATCGATCCGTCCGAATTATCATATACCCCTCGTTATAAACATAATACACAATACATATACTTACACCCGGAGACTTGTTTTATTTCTGTATGCAGCTGAATGAGAACTTAACAGCCATCAACAGCACTGCCACCATCTTCATCGTTTTCAGATCCACATTGCCGTCGTAGTCGTCAAGCATCAGCAGCAAAGCCAGTAGACAGCAACCAATTTAAATTGACAATTTAAATGAAAATTCAACCTCGGCAGTCCAACAACAACAGCAACAATATGAGCCAAACACTTCAATTTCCATTCAGCACAAAAATACAACAACAACAAATAAAAAAAAAAATCCTATGACAATTAGAGCTCACATTGCTTTAAGTGGGGAGATGATACTGAACTGCTGATGTTTGAAAACTAAAGTGAAATTGAACTGATTTTTAATTTTAAAAATTTAATGGCTAACTGAAGTATTTTTTGTTTTCGTTGATGGACACTGTGTCTTTGGTTGTTTTTGTAATTTGTTTTCAGAAAACGAATCTGCAATATAAAACCAAAAATTAATAAAATAATTAAATTTCACTAATTCTAATCTTCTTACCTTATGATTTTTACAAAAGATATCTTAATCTACCACACACTACATTTATTGACCGGATTCATGGGTGAACCCACTGGACAATTGAATTCTTTGGCAAAATCTATGGAATTCGAAAGTGTTCCTATTACTCTAAATCGACCCGGACTATGGATGGCTGTATTGAGTTTATTGCGTACCGCTTCGGGTCGCATAGCACCACACCACACTTGACCGAAATTGAGGAAAAATAATTGTTCTCCCGTCATATCGATACCGGGTAAATATTCATCTTTCGCTTCTTCGGGGTTGTCTTGTAGCCATTTTTTGTAGGCATGAAATGCCTGTCGTATACCACCATTGTCGGCGATATTTTCACCTGGAAGGAGAGGAAACATATTATTTTTTAATAGTATACACGAGTAAAATTTGTTAAACACTAAATGTATATGTTATTAGTTGAAAACATTAAAGTTGGGAAGAATATGTAAAACTCTGGACCTGTGCTATATTATATATTCACCCACAAGATATTACAATTTAGTCTTGGCTATATGATTTGAAATGACAAAAATATATCTTTAAGAAATGTAAATTTTGTTTGAGATTTAAAAATGGAAATTTGGGTCATACTGTTTGTTTTATGAGGCCACCAGACTACGGGGTGTTCCCTCAAAACAATAAACAAATGTGGTAGGAAATAAAAAGAATAAAATTACAGCACACATCCGCGATCGTGAGCAAACATCTTTTACAGATGTGGGTGTCTTCGCATCTGTAGCCGTTACAAGCACGCATATATGTATCAAATATAAATGTAAATTTAAGAAATAAGAGCAATATCCCTCCGGAGTCTGAAGGGACTGATAAGATAGTGGAGGAAGCGAGCGAAGTCACGACAAGAAATAGAGAAACTATAGCGTATAGCAAACATGATGCTCAAAAGGATTAGATCTGACGAATGCCAATTCCGCCGGATAATATAAAGAGAAAGCGGAACCAATCCAAAGTTAAAGGAGATTGCTACGAGAATCTATCGACTAAATGCGGCGTAGCTAGCTTTAATATCCAGGAGAGCAGCGCTGAATCTGAATCTTCCGTAGAGAATCCAAAAAGGACCAACCGGTATCGAATATAAAAATAAATAACTGTCGCAAAGTCTGAAATCTCTAGCTAATAATCCTATTTAAATATACCGCTTTTTTTATTCTTACAGACGTTTTTGTAATATTTCCATTCCATTTTGTAAGTATTTCGTGTTTAAAACTTTTCAATTTTTAAGGCAGTATTATTAAAAAGTAGTTAATTACAATGTCCATTCTTATAAAAATAATTAAAAATATAATGTTTTAGAAGATTGATAGAAATAAATGAAAAAATATAAAAAATACATTCGGGGTAGATTCGGCATTTTGAAGTGGGGCACATTCGGCCATATACAGATAGTGGGGTATTATTTTTTTCATTACAATGTTTTTGAGTTTGTCTTTAAAAATAATTCTTTAATATGGTCCGAAATTACTTATATAAGACCGAACGTGCTTGCATTGACGAAAACGCGATAGAAAAAAGGTATTTCTGATGGTGTGTGTGGCCTTGAGTTATCAACGTCCGCCGCTAGAAAATATAGCCTTAAAAGTCAAACTTTGAGTCGCATATTAAAATAATATGGAACATATGGAGGACCTGAATTTTAACCACACTGATAGCGGTTATAATTTCCAGGCTATGACTATGGTGCCGAATGTAACCATCAAATGCCGAAGCTACCCCAGGTAGGGGCACATTCGGCGAATTTGACTTTTTTCAAAACTGTAAAAATGTTTAACTAATACTAATTTATTATATGCTTTTGGTACTAGTTTTTACAATTAAGTAGCAGAGGGCAATAATCAGCAATAAAGTTTTTATATATGTTTAATAAGTACTGAGATATAGAGCTCTAAATAAAAAGTGATGAGGGTGCCCCAGTCTCCCCTATTATGTTTTGATATATTAAGAGCCAAACAAGTTAAGTTAGATATATTGGGAAAAGTAGCTCCGACTTTGGAGTCGTCGAAAATTTGAAAATATTTGTAATATCCGAGCAAACGACTCCTACAGATGTGGGTTCTTGGCATCTGCAGTCGCGAGTAATGCTACAGGATAGCAGCCAACAAGCAAAAATGGATGTAAGTTTAAGAATCATAGAGGAAGAACAATCTCGACCCAGCCATGCGAGGAAGACGGGGACTCAAACTAAAATTCCGAGTCTGAACACGAGAGTAAGGCCAACCTAACCGAATTAGAATGCCAGAGTAGTGAAGTGAAGCTAATAAGATGGTGGAATAAGCGAGCAAAGACATGACTAAGTTCAGGACAAGCCTGACCATCCCTCAGAAGAGGGATTAGGTCTCCGGAAGAGCAGACGAATGTCAATTCATAAAAAAAAAATGAAAAGCTATAAAGAAAAAAGCGTTGAGAATTATTCGACTAAGGACGGTGAAGCTGTAGCGCCAGGAGGAGAAGAGCTCTGCTGAACACGAGAGTAAGGCCAACCTAACCGACTTAGAATGCCAGAGTAGTGAAGTGAAGCTAATAAGATGGTGGAATAAGCGAGCAAAGACATGACTAAGTTCAGGACAAGCCTGACCATCCCTCAGAAGAGGGATTAGGTCTCCAGAAGAGCAGACGAATGTCAATTCATAAAAAAAATGAAAAGCTATAAAGAAAAAAACGTTGAGAATTATTCGACTAAGGACGGTGAAGCTGTAGCGCCAGGAGGAGAAGAGCTCTGCTATGCGGTCAATAATACGATGGATGTGGTCAATAATACGATCATGGAGTATAGGGGGATTACTTAAAGCATGAATTTGAGTTCTCAAACAACATTGATGCACTTACTAAACTATTAACAAACATAGTCTCCATAACTGAGATAATAAAACTCAACCTGGTGAGGAAAATATACATTCTTAAATACAAAAGGCAACGGTCTTCGTCAAAGGTTGGGGCGGCGATATTAAGACATAATTCTTCCTTATACAGAACAAGACACTGCTGGTGGAGAAGTGGGAACTCTTAAACTTTGAAAGGATGCTGTGTTTGTAAAATTCCAAATGAACGAATTCGAGTTACTTACGACCAAACCATTATTTATGTTTATAAAGGTTTTCTGATTTAAAACAAAAATAAATGACATATTTTTCAAAACCAAGGAGTTTGGTCGTAAGTCACTCGAATTCGTTCTTTTGGAATTTTACAAAAACAGGCTGTAAGGGTAAGCCTGTCTAATTCAATGCTGTCTAATTTATGATTGGGAAGACTATGATTGGAGAACCGACAAGCAGTGAGGGAGAAACACCTAGCAACAGAAGTGGGAGAGCCAAGGAGAATATAGAAAAAGTAAAAATAAAAATTAGTTAAGTTCGGCTGGGCCAAAATGTTTATATTTTCACAATGATTTACGGACTATGTTCTTCTATGGTACCCTTAAATGTTTTTATCCTAGGGGAAAACGAAATACCAAATAACAGAAATTAAGGTTGGTAATTTTTAGCAAACCTCAAATGGGGAGAAACCATTATATGAAGGTTTAGAACTTATTGTAAGAAATTGACAGCAAATAAGTTCTGAAATCACATAAAATGTGGAAAGCCGAACTATAGCCACTTTGGTTGCAAACTGCGCCAAGTACCATAAAAATGTCCAAAATGTCCATATATGCAAAGGAATTGACAATTGAAACCCACTGGGTTAACGAAATCCGGTTAAATGTAAACGTACTATTAAGCTTTGATTTATTTTGTAGGAAAAATCTATAGAGAAGTGATGGTTATTTTTTCATAGAGGTGCAAATTGACTGTAATTTATTTTATAGAAATAAATTCTTCAGAAATTTGAAATTCTGAAAACTTGGATTTTTTCTATAAGGAAAATCATCTGAACGACCTAAGGATTGATTTCTTAATCTAGAAAATATTTTGTCCGAACTATAGGTTTGATTTGTATACCCTCCCTCTTATGGAGGGTATATTAATTTTGTCATTCCGTTTGTAACTCATCGAAATATTCATTTCCGACCCTATAAAGTATATATATTCTTGATCAGGATAAAAATTCTAAGACGATGTCCGTCCGTCTGTTGTAATCACGCTATCTTCTGAAGGAATTGAGATAGGGTGCTGAAATTTTGCATTTGCTTTGCCTTTTGTCTGCAAGCAGGTCAAGTTCGAAGATGGGTTATATCGGTCCACGTTTAGGCATAGCTCCCATATAGCATAGGTTCTTGAGCGCGTTTTTCAACCGAATACGCAGGAATTTGGTACATTGAGTTCTTATTGGGTACTAAATGTCTCCATAAAAATTTATAAATATAGATCCACTTTTTCTGGTAGCCCCCATATAATGGTACCTCCTAATTTTTAGTATTTTGGGGGTTTTGATTTTATTTTTCCACCGAATTGGCTGTAATTTAGTATTTGGAGTTCTTAATAGGTACCAAATCTCTCCACAAAAAATTATAAATATATGCCCATTTTTTCGGATAGCCCCCATTTTCGGTTTCGGTATTTTTGGGTTCTTGAACGCGCTTTCAACCGAATTCGCTGCAATTTGGTATTTGGTAGTCGTATATGGTAAAAAATCACCCTACCAAGCAATTTTAATATTCGCCCCCTTTTTGGGGTCGTGCCCATATAACCCCCTTTTTTATATTAAAATAGTTATATAATTTGTTTCGTGTTTGCGTTTGGTTCTAAGACTCTGTTGTAATCATTTCACCTGCGGAGGAGAGCGAGATTAAAAATTAGAACGTAAGGTTCGATAATGAACTATAGCGGCATTAAGACGTAGCGCCCGTGTAGAGGTTCCAGAAGGAGTGGACCGATATTCCCATCTTCGAATTTGAACTAAGTTTGGAAGAAACAATTAGATGGGCAAAGTTTGGATGAAATCTAAATTTTCGGAAACCGATTTGGTCCAAAGAAACATGAGGTCTAGAACCAATATTTCGATGAGGCACATTTTCACCGTGTTAAATTGTATACACCCTCTTAAGGCATAAGTACCTGTCAGTATATCTATGGTGGAGGGTATCCAAAGTTCGGCCTGGCCGAACTTAACGATTTTTCACTTGTTATTTTTTCTATAGAAACTAAACTAGGAAAATATATACTGACAAATATTCCTGAAATTTATTATTATATCCCCAGCCATATGGCTAATGAGGGTATATACACTTTGATACGGTGAAAATTTGCCTCATCGAAATATTAGTTTAGACCCCTTGTTTCTTCGGACCAAATCCGTTTCAGATAATTTGGAGTAGATATACACATGTCCGTCCGACCGTTGTGCGTCTGTCTGGCTAGTGAACACGATAAATCTCGAAGGGAGCAACCGATTTCATCCAAATTTTACACATCTTAATATTTCTTCCAAATTTAGTTTAAGTTCGAAGATGGGTAATACGGTCCACTTCTTCTGGTACCTCCCCTCACAAATGATAAAAATTGTGCTAAAATGTAATTTTATAATAACATGAAACTTTGTACAACCTTATATCTTTACCAAGCCTAAATCAAGGAGGAATATTAGACTCATTGGTCCAGTCCTTCTGGTACCTCCCCTACACAGGGCCAAAATTTTCAATTTTTATAAATCCAATATCAGACTAACGGAATGTCCGATTTAAACTAAACTTTGCACAACCTATTATCTTTACCAAAATTTACACACACCTATGATTCACTCTGTCATGCAAAATTCATTCTAATTCCCTTTGCCATAAAAAATCACTTAATATCTAATTTCACTTACCTTGCGTACTTTCACCATTCAACGCTATGCCAACTTCGTTCACCGTATAATTGCCATACTGGGATATAATGCAGCGGGCACGTTCATCAAATCCCTTAATAGATAAATCTGTCCACCATTTGTGAATGCTGCCGTTGCGATCAAACAGACGGCCCTTGTCATCGAAACCATGTGTCAATTCGTGACCAATAACAACACCAATTCCACCGAAATTTAACGATCTGGGAAAGTGGCGATGATAAAATGGCGGTTGTAAAATACCAGCAGGAAACATAATTTGATTTTTATTACGGCTATAATAGGCGTTAACAATGGCGGGGGCTGTTTGCCAAGTGGTTTTATTCACCGGTTCGTGGAGTTTATTTTGTTCGGTGCGTGTTGTGTGCAGTAGGACATTCAGAGTGTTTTCGAAATATTTTTGCGGGTCAATTTCAATGCCAGAGTATTTTTCATTTAGCTCTTCAGTGTTGAGTATAAAATCAGGATAGCCAATTTTCAATGACATAGCGTTGACTTTTTGTTCGGCCAGATGTTTGGTTTGAGGATCTAACCAATTGGTGGTTTTGAGTATTTCGCGGAATGCTTGCTGTAGTTCATAGGTCATTTTTAGAGTGTCCTGTTTGCTGTTTTCATCGAAATATTTGCGAACAAACATGGAGCCCAGAGCCATGCCCATATTGGTATTCACCTGGGAGATACAGACTTTCCAACGTGAGGGCGTCTCTTCGCGACCGAAGAGGGTGTGGTAGAATGTTTGTTTGGTATCATCGAAGCGATCATCGACGTTATTGATACGATGTCGCACGAAACGCCATAGTAAATAATTGGCAATGGTTTGAGGATCTGTGCAATCGAGGAGATTTACCAAGTCTTGCATATATTCTGTGGCATAGATGACAACTTCTTCAGAATCCTGAACGTTGCGCTGTTGCAGTATGGTAAGGTAACGCAACCAATCAATTTTCGGTATGAGCGAATGGAGGTCACTGAGTGTCATACGTTTGTAAAGTTTGGTGACATTGAGACGTTTCTCCGCGGGGGCTGTTATGGAAGCCAATTGGGTTTCGAAACTGATTAAATCTGCTGCTGTCTTGGTGGCCTGCTCTTTATCCGCCCCTAATTTGTGCATCACATCGGCCATAAATCTCTGATAGGCATTCAAATATTTGGCATTGACATCCTGCAGATAGTAGTCGCGTGTGGGTAAACCCAAATTTGTTTGATCAAATTGTATGATATTTTCATCGGAATTTTTAATATCGGGTCCAACCCATTGGACGATAAGAATGTCGTTGTTATAGCGTCTCAGATGGGCGGTGAGATTAAGCCAATCGAAATTGTCGGATGACCAATTTTCATCCAAAACTGGCCAGCCCCCAAGACTTTGCACCAAATCCAATAGAGGTTGTATGCCCCTTTCTTCGAGGAGTTTAATATTTGTACAGGATTGATAAAGTTGCCGAGCTTTAGTGTGAGCATCATTGGAATTGCCTCTATGAAGGGGAGTGGAGGTGGGTTGAAAGGTAACCAAAGGCGGTTGGGCTGTAAAGCCACTCTTTTGGCGATATGAAGTATAGGACAACAACGATTCCGAGGCATTTGGATGTGATGTAAAACGTTTCCTTTTTGTATTGGTGAATATCCTTGAGTCTCTTTTGTAACGTTCCAGCAACTGGCCCAGAGCCTCACGTTCCTCCAGCAAATGTTGTACCAATTTCTCTCGTTCGATTTCCTCGGTATCCTGCGACTGCACAGGTTTCACAATATCTGCCTGGGTGTTGGGCAGCTGTTCATAAGTATTGGCCACAATGTGTTCCACTTTCTTGGGTGCAGTGTCATCATAGTCCTTCGATTCCAACAACTCCTTGAGGACAATATCCAGATTTTCTCTTAACATTTCGAAGGTATCAAACCCAGCCTTATCCTTGGGTATAGGATGATGTTTCTCCCAATTGCCACAAACATATTGATAGAAATCATCACACGGATCTACCGAGGTATTCATATAGAGTTTCATTGTTCGAGCCTGAGCCTCACGCATGCTCTTCTTGGTGGTCTGGTCATTCCAAAAGGATTTCAAAACGGAAATTGATTCAGATGTTGGATTAAATTCTTCTTTTGGTCTCAGAGATTCGTCTTGCTTTTCCACGCCCTCATCCTTCTCCTCCTCTTCAGCCTCATCCATTGAAGGAGCCTCTTGCTCGGTATTATCTCGACGTATCCTACGGCGTCCATACGATTCCAGTAACGCATTCAAATCGAACTCATTATAATTTGTGATGCGAGAGTGCCCATTGAAGTTTTCCAAACATTCGCGCGGGATAACTGTTGTATCCCTTGGTAAAAATGAAGTACGGGCATCTTTCATTAGATCCCGATCCTCCCAATCCAGCGATTCACTCAAACCAAAACGAAAGGAAATGCAACGTTTTATTCTCTCCTCCTCGCTAAGGCGCACCTTTTTATCCCTTGGTATTAGCAATTGTTCACTGATCATATCCTGATAGGGATCATTATCCATGGCACCCTCATAATCTTCCAAATACAAGGGTGGCTCTTGATCCTGATGATATCCCAATCCTCCTCCACCCCCTCCTCTATGTGAATGGCGATGATGTTGATGCATCTGCAAGGCCATCAACATGCCATCCATGCGCATCAGCAGAATCAGCACCAAGGTAATCGGTAGCATTATCACTGGAATGATAATCAAAAGTTTGCAACATGTAAAACCGGGACACCATTGAAGACGTCCTGTCTGGGCATTGACACCCAAACCCAATTTTGGTTTCGAGCCGAACGTCTGTGAACCCGATGCTGTGGAAAATGTACGACTACCATAACTCAACGATTGGCTGTGGACCTGGGGTAATGCAATGCTATGGAAGTCACGTTTTTGTGTCATTTCGCCACACGGCGAATGGTCATGATGGGACATGTTTTATTTTTTTTTATTTTGCGATGTTTAAATTTCTATCACTGATTTTCACTACTTGTGCTTCTTCTTCTTCTGCTCTACGGCTTTTTTCACACAAATGAAATTGTAACTCGCGTTTTTTATTAAGGCCAATTAAATTGAATGACTACAACAACAACATCGATAACAACCACATTTGACCATTTAGCAAATTATGACTTTGAAACTGACGACTGACTGGCTTTACGATTTTACGTCAACGACTTGTGTGCTGCTGCAAGTCTTTTAATTAATTGTAACAATGAAACCAATTAATGCCAGAATTGAATCACAACAACGATCAGAACGTCCGTCAGCGTTTTAGAATACTATTTTTTTCGGGATCGACCGTTCCGTTTTACAAGCGGCTGACGACCGCTTGATGTACCTCACGTTCGCTAACTAACTAAGTGACTGACTGCCTTGTATCCAAATGACATTTCACAGAGCCACAGAGTGTCCACAAAATTTGAGGATGGTCTCTGAACAAAAAATCTTTTCATTCTTTAATTGAAAATGAAAAGCGTTGATTGTAACTTGAATTTGAATGCGATGAGAGTGAAAAACGAGAGAGAGAGAGAGAGAGAGAGAGAGAGAGAGAGCTGAAGATTAATCAAATGGGATCTCTTTATGGGGGTTTCATCACCATATCACACTTTTTTCTGGAGCATAAATTATGACATAATAGTTAAACTAATGAGGATCAAATGGATTTCCAAAAATTATTTTTTTGGGAAAATTCGATGCTATCTGTTGTGTCTATATACGATTAGGTAAAATTGAAATCGATTAATAGTTTAATTTATATAGAAAGCCAAATATACTCTCATAAGAGGGCAAAAGTCTTCTCATAGAAGGACAGAAGTCATTCTTAAAAGATCCTTCCTTGAAAATATATATCCTTGAAAATATCTGTTTTAAATTCTGGAGCCAATAATTATTGAAAAATATTGTTAAATATTAAATAAATCTTTGGCCTTGAAAAAATTATATCCACGCCTTGATAATAAATACTGTAGGAGAATCTAAAAGAAGAATAAAGGCCTTATATTTTCTAGCAGTTTTTCTCATAGACATAATGACGTAATATCTTCTCTCAGAAGTTGCCCTTATAGAAGGCCAGAAAATATTCTCATAAGAAGCCAGAATTCATCTCTTACAGTTTTAGAAATGCATTTTCATAGTATGTCAGAAAGTGTCTCCAAAAGATGCAGGAAGTCCTCTCATAAAACCATGAAAGTAATCTAAATGTCTTCCAAAAGTGGACCAATATGTATTCTCATAGGGGACCAATATGTTTTTCTTCCCATTGAAGCCCAGTAGAAGGCCAGATGCACTTCGATAAAAGTTGAAGACCAATTGGTCTTGTCAAAAGAAGATTTCACAAAGAAGACCATGGGGTCTTCCCAGATAAAGATCTATCTAAAAATCAACTATGCCTCTATCGTACACTGAAAACTATTCCTGATCTATATTTAGCCTCTTGAGAAATTGCATGTGCAAAATTTTGCCTCAGTATTGGGAGTTTGGTACATCATTCACATAAAATCGGACGAAACTATATTTGGGAACTATATCTAAATCTGAACCGATTTTAAAAAAAACTTCACAGACATCAGTCTGGACCTAATTCAGTAGTCCTTGCAAAACTTTGTCCCAAACGGACAAATATTTGGAGTTTGGTTCATCATTTACATAAAATCGGATGAAACTATATATGGGAGCTACATCTAAATCTGAACCAATTTCAATAGGGTTCGTCCTCGGGCCAAATAAGTGACATGTACCAAATTTTATCCAAATCGGATCATAAATGCGACCTGTACTTTGTTCACAAAAATACATGGACGGATAGACGGACATGCGTAAATCGACGCAGAAAGTTATCAAAAGGAACCATGTGTCTATCTCGTTTCCTTTTGCCTGTTACAAACATATGCACAAAGACATAACACCCTGTACCACAGTGTGGTGAAGGGTATAAAAATCCACGCCTTGCAATGATCCTTGAAAAATATTATTTAAAAAATCCACGCCCCTATTGGCCCTGAAAAAATCTACTTCTCTATTGGCTCTTAAAAAATATTATTTAAAAAATCCACGCCCCTATTGGCCCTGAAAAAATCTACTCCTCTATTGGCTCTTAAAAAATATTATTTAAAAAATCCACGCCTCTATTGGCCCTTAAAAAATCCACGCCTCTATTGGCCTGAAAAAATCTACTCCTCTTTAAAAATTCACGCTTCTTATAGTCCTTAAAAAAATATTCTTTAAGAATCCTTGCCTTGAAAATATATTTTGTAATAAATCTATGCCTTAAAAATATATTCTTTAGTAAATCCACGCCTTGAACAAATATTTAAAAAAAATCCAGTATCCTTGAAAAAAATATCCTTAAACAATATACGCCTATCAAGAACCATTGAAAAAAATCTATGCAAAATCAACGCCTTGTAGTGGTCCATGGAAAAATATTCTTTAAAAAGCCAAGTCTTGTAGTGGTGGTCCCTGAAAAAAATATTCGTTAAAAATCTACGCATGTAATGTTCTTTGAAAAATATTACTTAAAATCCACGCTTCTTAGAGTCCATGAACAAATATTCTTCAAAAAATCCACACTTCCATTTTCTTTATAATATATTAGTTAAAAATCCTAGCTTCTTATAGTCCTTGAAAAAATATTCTTTAAAATATTCACGACTTGAGAAAATAATTTTTAGAGAATTTACGCTTCTTATAGACACTGAAAAAATATTCTTTAAGAAATACATGCATTGGAATAAACCCCACGCTTCTCAGAGTAACTGAAAAACTGTTATTTAAACAAAAAAATCTACACTTCTGGAAATATTCCTCAAAAAATTTAAATTCCTTAAAAAAATTATTTAAAGAAGGTATATTCTTTAAAAGTCCTCTAATATACCTTGAAGACATATTCTTTAACACTAGATTGCCGAAGGCAGTCATTTTGACCGTTTTTCAAGTACAAAAACAATTGTGTATACTATGACTCAGCTTTTTAAAATTTGGTGACTTTTTGTACCACATAGAACTACGTTTATTAATCATAGTAGCTGCTTCCTCCCCTCTTTCATTCCCCGTATTCACGGGGATATTGTCTAAAGCGGTCATTTGACCTTTTGTGAAATACTAAATAATCAAACTACTTTTATTATTGTATAAAGTGAATTTCTTATATGACCAGATCAGTACAACAACATCGAAACCCGTTTGCTACTCTAGAAACACAAACGAACATACAAATCGGGGAAAAAAGTTATATTTCCAGTCGATTTCACTCTTAGAGTAAAGACTTCCTTTTTTCGAATATTTTGTCCGCGCACTTATTTTTTAAAAGGGGAAACTTGAGAGCCCTACCACAGAAAACAAATAATAACAACGTTTTGTATGATTGTAAATAATGTAAAAAATATTAAAAAAAGTTAAAAAAAAAATTCTTTACACAATAAAATTCTTTCAGAATGAGGCCATTTTGACCGATTTTAGGCAATATAGGTATATACAAAATTCCAGTCTTTCTAGTGTTAATAATCCACGCATCCTTCTAATAGTCCTGGCAATAATATTCTTAAATAATGCAATTTAAAAAAATATTCTTTAAAAATCCACGCTTCTTTTAGTCTAAAAAAATATTTTTAAAATCCACACATATTTTAGTCTTGAAAATATCTGTTTAAAAAATCTTCACTTCTTTTAGACTTGAAAAAACATCCTGTAAAAAAGCCTCGCTTTTTTAGACTTGAAAATATTCTTTAAAGAATCCACGTTTCTCATAGTCATTGAAATAATGTTCTAATAAAAATCCACTTTTATTATAGCCCTTGAGAAAAAGTATTTTTTTAAATCCACACAAAATTCCTTTATCTTTAATTTTAAAAAGTATATTTAAATTTGACCCACTGCTCTATTTTATTTTTGTTTAAAAGAAAAATCAACAACAATGTCGCAAAAAAGAAGACAGAAAATGGAAATCAAAATCAATTTCGGTCATAATTCAATTATGTAAATAGTTTAAGGTTATAGATGCAATTGAAACAACAACAGCAACCATTGGACGTATAAAAACACACACACACACTCACACAAACAACAAATAAAAATAAATAAATCAAGCAAGGCATCGAACGAGAACATTTACTCACAACAGCAGCTAAAAAAAGTTCTCAGGCAATAAAACCGTTTTGCAACATAAAAGAGACAGTACCGTGCATCCATAGACAGTACTGATAATAGAATGGGTCGAGAAGAATTTTGCAGCTGGCTTTTTGGTTATTAGGAAGTATATTGACAATTTTTCGATACTGCAATCAGTATATACGGATCAATATTTGTCGATGTGTGCAGTAAAAATTTTTGACTCATTTCGATCAAAATATAAATCACATCCCTCCAATCAAGAGGTATAATTCCCAGAAGTTTCGCAATAAAACAATATAATGCACATCATCAGTTTCTTATCAGTTATTTCCTAGAATCGTAGAAATGTCAGATAACCATTCACAGCCAATCCCCGATTTTTTAGACCCAAGATTCATTATATTGTTTTCCGCACGGATTTGCATGGGAAAGTGAATAAATTATTCATCAATCAAAATCATTTGGATTTGTGATTTTATTTTTATGGCGGAAATTTATTGTTTTTTGTGTGTTTTGATTTGTTTATGTCGTGATACTGTCTGTGCCGCTCGTGCATAGCAATGTGATGGCTGCGATGAGAATGATGATGACGACTATGGCGATTATAGTGTGTGTACAACTAAAATGATAGCAATAACAATGTCGTTGATGATAATCATTCGCATCATTACTGGTAGTCCCAGGTTCATTGTTGATGTCGTTTTGTCGTTTTGTTCACGATTAAATTCATATCAAATAGAATAAAACAGGTGGGGACACACTGTTGATAAAGGGCCTTGTATTTAGAAACTTTAAAATTTAACCAAAGTAAGGGCCTAGCCGGGAATTTGAGTCAA